AGGCAGATCATGCTTCGCGAAGATTCCATGAATTCTTTAAACGTTTAGCTTAGAAGGAAGAAATATTCTTGGATAGAATTTCATATTATACTTGGCTTTTAAGAATGGATCTAAAATCATTAAAGTTAGTTAGTCACTTTTTTATGAATTATTATTGAAGATAAATATTTTAGATAAATATTATGCCTGCTATGAAGATTTTATGCTATTTATTCTAATCCGAAGATAAACTTTCGCTTGCGGCCTTTGATATACGGTCATGCCAGCATATTCAAGACCCATGATATATGATGGTTAGGCTCGATTACTCCTTAGTCTTCAGCTTGGCACATGCAATCTATTCGTCTGTTGTATTTCTATAAGTTTATTTCGTCGAATGATGAAGAAAATTTATTCCAAAAATATCTAGTAGGCTGATAGTTGTCACAGTACTATCGTTACTTGTTATTAGAGAAAGAGAGCAGTATTGCTCTCCTGCAGTCATTTGCAGTTCTTCTTTACCATATAAGCAAATACATCTTCTAACGTTGAGTTGAGAAATAAGTAGCATTTATAAATAGCATTTGAAGAGTTCAGGCTCGAAATTTTCTTCACTGCAAAATTTTATTGACAAAATTTATTGACCTTAACTTTTTGATGTAAAGCATCATTCTCTTGGCGATTTGTAGTTGCAATTATATAGTTCAAAGAGCCTTTCAGACGTATAGTGTGCGGTGATGGATAGCGTATCGTGGTTTAATTGGTTCCGCTACCATATGATTTTTAATGGTCTTAGCAGGCATTCCATTATTATTTCCAACTAACTATCTCGTACAGCCTTTTGAAATAGCTTTTGGTTGTTGCATATTTGAACAACTGTCTCGACGATATATTCACGACGATATCAATCCAATAATGGTTTCTATATCATTTTCTATTATTCATTTATTATCGTTGATATGCTTTTAAATAATCAATATTAAGCACAATTATCAATAATAGGGATAATAACAATTTAAAATAATAGTAATAGTAATAATAATAGTGATAATAATAGTAAAAATAATAATATCGCTTATCGACGAAATACTATTTAAAAAAATTTTTAATTTTTTAGTTGAATCGGCAATTTTTGGGGATAGAATAGCACAGTGAGTTGTTGCTCAATTGGGAGCGCAATTGCTGAGGTTTAATTCCCCGCAGGAGTAAGCCTTGCAAAAATCCAGGTGATGTTGGCGATTCACCTGTATTTCTATCGCCAAGGGACTCCTTGCCATATTGCTCAATGCGACAAGCCAGTGGAACGAGCTTAACCAGTAATGGTGAAGATTCTTTCAAAAAAAATAAAGTATAAATATTAATAATAAATAAATATATTTGAATCGGCGAGAAAAATCTTTAAACTGGTCATGAATTATTTAAAAATCTAAAACAAAATATTTTTTTTGATAATTTTTTTCTTCTTTAAAAATAATTTTTCATTTCAATAAAAATGCAAATGCGAATTTTCAATATAATTTTCTTCAAATATAAGTCGAAAATTTTTCTTTTTTTTGTTCAGTCAAACATAGATTGATTATATTATTTTTTATTTATAATTACTTATATGTTTTAGTGAAAACTCACTGATAAGCAGCTTTCAATGATATGTTTTTTTTTATTTTGAAAGTGATAAAAAATAAATAAAAAACAATAATGACATATATATATATTATATGAATTATGAATAGAAAAAATAGAAATTATAGCACTTACAATTTTTTTCTATGAGAAACGAGAAATTATTACAACAAATATGATGATGCGAATGCGAAAAAAGAAACGAATTCATCAATTTTTATTTAATGAAATTTTTTCAAAAAAAAATTTAAATGTTATTTTTTTTTTAATGAGAAGTTTTTAGCAAAAAATTTTTTCACTAATTTCAATGCAATTATATTCTAATTATAGAAATTGCTAGAAATTCTACATTTAATTATGAAATATATCATATTTATTGGCAAATGAAATTATTAATTGAAAAGATAAAATTTTTTTTTAAAAGATTTTTTAATAAAATAAAACAATTTCTCTAAAAAATTTTTATCAAATAACATTATTTTATTAAATTATTTAGTCTATCAATGTACGAATTCAATCAAATTTGTTAATAATAATATCGCAAAAAAAAAAATTTCTTAATTTACCTAATACTATTAAGCTAAAGAAAAAATTTTTGGCAAAAATTTTAATTTTTCTATAAATTTTTTAATAAAAACTTCTGAAAAAAAGTCTTTGAATTCAATAAGAGACATAAAATTATTGCTGTATATATTGTTGGCTTGGTTTATGATTAGTTTTTGTTTGATTCACAAGAAAACTGTTTATTCATTCTAATTGTTAGAAGATGCCAAATAGGGAATACAATTCCTAGGAGAAGTTGCTTCATAGACTCGCAGTTGTCTGTTGCGTTAAGGCGATGGTGGAAGGCTTGAATTTGAACATAAAGAGTGGAGATAATCGAAAATTGTTTCGAATATATAGGGGAATGACTATAACTCATAAGATGGTTCCAAGATAGGAATGGAAATACCATTAAAATTATTAAAGATAGCTTCTGAAGAAAGTTCTTTTCAAAAGAAAAAGGTTGAATCCAAATTTAATCATGCAATGCACCATATGACATGTTAGGCATAACAAAAATTTAGAATAATACGGCTACAATTAAAAGAAAAAAATTCACAATTCAGGAGCCTAAAGCATATTTGGCCATAGTATTTAGAAGCCTTCTGTAAGACTGCATGGCCAATAAGATTTTTCAAAAATATCAAGAAGGTATAAATCTCTTCGATTTTATCTCTCAAAATTATATTTTACGTACTTGCCGTGAGGATAATATCTCACATGATTGCATTCATGTTCACTCGAATAATACATGCAGTCGATGGAATTGAATCGAGAAGATTGCGCTAGTCGCCAATGAAGCAAACCAAAACTAACGATGATAAAAATTAACGATAGCTGTTAGAATTCATTTCTCTAATTGATGGCTGTTTGGTTCATTAACTAAGTTAAGTTAAGTCTGAACCTTGTTTTTTTTTTTTTTTCTTTTAGCTAAATTCTGTCAAATAATATATTGAGCTGCATTATCTAAAACTGATAAGTCATCTGATAAGAAAACAAGAAAAATCTTTTTTAAAAAAAAAAGAAAAACTAACAAATAACAACTATTCAACAGAAATTACAACAGAAATAATATCTTTTCAACCATGTTTTATCGATCTATTTTTCAAAATAATTTATTAAAGGCATAAAAATTTGCCGATCGAATTTCTTCGAGTGAAAATAAAGTGAATTTTTGCCTTTATTTTATTTATATTTTATTTTATTTATTTTATAAATTATTTGGCTAAATATTTTTTTTTAAAAAAAATAATATAAATAATATTTTTATAAACTTTTTAAACCGTCTATTTTTTTCATAGATTAAATTAATCCGCATTGCACTTAAAAAAAAACCAATTTAAAACCATTTTTGGCTTATCACTTAAGTTTTCATCACTATCACCGAGCTTATCAGATCAAATAAATTTTTGCCAGAGATTCACTTGCAAACAATATAGAAGTACAATTTAGCCGCATTTATCATTCAGATTTTCAAAGGCCAAAAACAGATTTTGCCTTAACGATAGTTTATTAAAATTGAAATTAAAAAATTTTGCATATAAATATTTTTTTCAAAATATTAAAAATTGTCGCTTTTTTAATGCATTAGAGTGAATTCATGAGAAATTGACCAAATTTTCATTTTTTTTTCCATATAAATATTCTCAATAATTCGGAATTTTCTTGATAAAAAAATTTTATGAATTGGTTAAATAATGAGGAAAATTTATGCGAATTTGCAATAGGCAATTATTCTCTATGATCATTTTTTATTATCATTATTATCATTATCATTATTTATTGCTTATCATTATTTATTATTATTTATCATCATTATCATTATTTATCATTATTAAAATTGTTATTGTTTATTGCTGTTTTTATTAATTACTGTGTTTAAGCATGAAAATATTAAAATGATAAATTTTTAATAGATAGAACGAATTAATAATTCGATGAAATAAATCAAAAATAAATGCAATTTTTTCAACGAAATCGATTGTCTGATGAAAAGAAATAAAAGGAAAATAATAGTTTTTAAAAAAAAATTAAAATTACATTTTTTTTCATAAATTTCACAAATAAAATAGAAATTTTAAAATTAAAGAAATTTTAAAACTAAAGAAAATTAAAGAAAGAAATTAAAGAAAGGAAAAAAAAGAAAAATTTTCGATTTCCATAAAAATTTTCTATTAATTTTCAATAATTTCAATTCATTTGCTAATAAATTAGATAATAAATGAAATTTTTTTTATTTTAAAAGGAAAGTTTTCGATTTTTCGTAAAAATTTTCTATTCTTGCTTCTCTTCATTTTTAGATTTTTAAAAAAAAATTAATGCTCTCTTGTTGTTTTTCGATAATTTATAAAATTACAATTTCCAATAATGAAATTTTTTCGAGTTTAAGAAAATTTTCTTCTTTCTTATTTTATTTCATTATTTCTAATAATTTTTAGAGAGTCTCACTTTTTCTAATTTTTTAATTCAATTTATGTCGATACATTCGCTTAAAAATACAAAAAAGAATGTTTTTAATAGCATATTGAAGAAAAAAAATTTTTTAAAAAAATGTATACAAAAATCTATTTTAAAATAAAAATTTCTCCCATTCTATTATTATTCAAATTTTTCCTATTTGATTTTTTTTATTTTATTTATTATAAAATTTAGAGAATAATAAAAAATAAAAAATAAAAAATTAAATAAAAATGAAATGAAAAATAGAAATTTTATAGAAATACAATACAATACAATAAAATAAAATAAAATAATACAATTAAAATATATTAAATTAAATTAAATTAAATTAAATAAGTATAAATAAATATAAAATTTAAATAATAGAATGAATAGAAAGAAATTTTTAGCGAAAAATTTTATTGCTTTCGAGTTTGAAGATAGAGTGCAACATAAGCAATGATACGAATCACAAAAATCATTGTAATTAATGCGAAAATATCTCTATAAAAATTCGAAATTTTAAAATCGAGAAAATCTAATACGTCGTTGCCTGTTCGATAGCAATTTGTATCATTTATACAACCTAAAATACGATTTAAAAAATTTTTCTAGATAAGCTTCGCTCCGCTCTGCGACTTATTAAATTAAGGCAAATTTTCGCAATTCTAAAGAGTCCAAAAATTTGACGATCGAATTATTAATGAAGCACTAGTATGGATCGAATTTTTGAAGAACGGATTTATTTTATACCCAAGAGGACAACTTCAGCACCAGCGAAACGTATTGAAAGATATCACAACTGAGCTATTCCTTCCTTCCTCTCTCTCCCTCTCCCCCCCCCCCCCCCCCCCCCCCCCCCCCCCTCCCCCTCCTCATCCGATCCTCTCCCTACCATTTTCCTCTCGCCCACTCGCTTTATTATTATTATTATTTATTTAAACTATTTATTATCATTTATTTATTCTCATCTATAGAGAAAGAATAAATTTAATAAAAAATTCTTTTGTTTCGAATAGCTTTTAAATTGAAATACAAGGCGTAAATATATCAAAATCAGATTTTTTTAAAAGAAAAAATAATTTTTTGGCAATTCTATATTTAATATTTATATGCATTCACCTGGTATGGAATCAATGTGCGTCCATTCAATTATTGCAAGTGCTTCATAAGCATATCTTAAATTTAAATTATATATAATATTTTTTTAAAATTTTTTATTTTTTAAAAATCTTTTCACTTAACAACTGTTTAGTGGTAAATGTATATCTCTTGTTATCAAATTGCAAATTTTTTCATGATAAGAGCTTTCAATAAAAATTTTTCTTTTGTCCTTCATTAAGTGCCTTTGCGATCGTTGTGAAAATGGTGATTTCTAATGATGATTCATCATGGAAAAAAAATTTGTTAAATTTATTAATGAAAACTTTCCCAAAGTAGTATTAGAAGGATATAAGAGAATGAATCTTCTATTGTTTGAGGAGAATACTCATAGAGTGAAGATAATCCTCCTTACTTAGGCATTTGGTCAAATTAATAAACGCAATGATAATGTAAATTTGTGAAAATTTCAAATTTCTCCTGAAAATAAATAATATCTAGATAGGCTTAAAAAAAAGATTATACATAATTGAGGAGCTTACCCAAAGTATGAAATATATTGAAATATTCTATAATATGGAGGCAAAGTCGCAAGATTTATGAAAAAACCAGCTGTAATCATAGAAGGTAAGATAATCACATTGATAAGATAAAGTGAGACACCTATACTTTTGAATACGCATGACATCAAATATCCTGAAAATTAATTTAGTCAGATAGCTCTTTAGCCAATCACCACTATAATTATCGCGTAATTATGGCTAAGAAAATCGTAAATTAATAAAATAATTATTCTAATCCATGCACTAACCATATGAGGTGGCCACATTAGCCATGAGAATACAAATCAGGCAACTAATCGAAAATGCTTTGATTTCTGGCGTTAAGCCTTAAAATATTTATGAAAATTAGTGAATATCTTCGAAAATGCAATAAATAATTTTAGATATTTTATAAATCCATTCTAAAAATTATTTTTTTTACGAGAAGAAAATTTACCTGCCATCCAGTAAAGAATTGTTGTAAATAAAAGGGGCAAAAGAACAAATTGAGGTATCTGAAATGAAATTCATCATTATTAGTATTTTTACTTTAACTAAAGGCTTAGCTAAAGGTTAACATTTTGGCCAAAAAAAACTTAATGCGTTCAAAATGAATAAAATAAAAAAATATTTTAATTATCCATTAATCAACCAACTATTGTATTATTCATTTTAGTAGATTTTTTTTTATTTATATATTTTTATATTTATATATTTTTTATATTAATATATTTATATCTTATATTTATAATTGCGACGATATTGATAAAACTTTTACTATCATTTTATCAATCATAAATTCATTAAACTGTCGATTTTTTTATAAATACAAATATAAATTCTTAAGTAACTACTTAAGTTCGGATTATCTAAAGCATTATCTGATGTACTGATAAGATATTTCTAAGCTTTGGATTGAAAATTCAACCAATAGTGGATTCGAAAATCATAGATTCTAGAATAGAAACGATTTAAAATTTCCACAGATAATTTCCATAGAAAGATTAATTTGCTAAGAAGAAAAAATTAAAAGATTTATAACTTAACCTCGGCAATATTTTTTGCCAAGAAATATGTATCGGAACGATATAAGCCACCGCGATGTTCTCGAAGAAAAATTGGTAATTCCGAACAAAATTGCTGAAAAAAAAAGAAAAAAAAATCAAATTTCATTTAAGCTAACTAAACCTTATCGATCTCACAAAACTATTCAAAATTTTATTCTCAAAATATTCGCCTTATAGAAGAAGAAAACATTTGTAGAAAAATTTTTTATCGAAATTTTGAAAATTGAAAATTTTAAAAATTTCCAACTAAAAAAGTAAAAATTGTAAAAATAAAAATTTCATAACAAAAAGACATAAATAGAAAACGCAAAAGTGCACTTAAAACTGAATGGATCATTTCGGTTGGAATTATTCTATGTAGAAGTGAACGTTTGTTGTAAAAATTCGGATGGTTCTAACCTATTTGCATTAATTTGCAGCCAGGTGATCAGTAGAGAAAAAATGGAGAGTACATATTAGTTCTTCTAAAATTTTAGAAATTATTTTTGTAATTTTTTTATAAAATACCAACATTTAGTGCAATAAATTGAAATAAATAATTCATATTCGTTACGAGTATAAATAGTACACCGTTATAGCTCATAATTGTTGCTTGATTTAGCGTTTTTCCAGTAAAAATGATTCCAATGATGATGGCTGCGATCTATAATTCCATAGAGAACCAGTTAAATGCAATTTGATATAAATAAAATTATGGTTTTAAAATTCTTTCATTAGGGGCTTAAAATGATATGTGTATAAGATTGATGTGAAATTTATGCAAATTCATTGGTTCTTTTTTTGGTGCTTAGATTTATGGTAGCATATTTCTGTGGTCATCATATCACGCTGCCTGAAGTCACTCTACTCGCCATGGTACCCAATTTTTTTTCATTCTAAAAGTATTAGATGTTTTGGGAGCTATGAAGACAGTTCGCAATGTGCAAACAGCAAAGCGACGCAAAGTGGATTATTTGGTGATGACGCATCGACGCTGGCTCATGACTGGATCTCGAGTTATAAATCTCGAAAATATCTCACGTTGCTGCAAACTCTCAAGTATTATAAAGATGGATCCTTGAAGAAATTGATAGAGGAACTGATTAGTACAGAATGAGTTGTATGAATTAAGTACCAGAGAAGTTCTTTACGGTTTCACATAAATACATTGCGTGCAGCGAAAAAAGAAGAAAATCCCTAACTTTTTCTTCTGGCTATAAGTAAGAATAAGAATCTCCAAGCTGCTCGGTCCGATGCCATTCTTTTTTCCATCGTTTAAACCCATATATCGCCCTGTATGTTCATAATCTTTCCTGACTGTGTCAGTCCAGGTCTTCCTAGTCTGTATCAGATCAGACTATATCAGCTGCATGAATTTAGCACAAGAGAAGTTTTTTGCAGTTCCATATCAATATAGTGTGCAACTTGCGTGCAGTGAAAAAGAAGATATTCCCTAACAAATGGATGCATTAGATGAAAGCACTTTTGAACTTTGCAAATAAAATAATTTCAAATACTATTTAAATTTATCATTCTTGTCAACTTTGTCATTCGCTACTAATACGAAAAAATGAATCTTTTCTGGAGCAAACCACAATACAAAATGGATTGATAGTGCCTGATCTGACAGGAAAAGGTCTGTAGGATCGTTAAGAATGAACCTTCTCGATCCATATAAAATTAAAAGAACCTTGAAGAAGTATTACTAAAAGATTGATTTATTATAGCTGTATGCGATAATTACACAGAGTTCTACAGTAAAGAATTGGATGGAAATGGTCCATTAGACAACGAATAAAGAGCTACATCCGGAAAGAGCCTCGTTATTTTCCACGTTAACGCATATAACATCTCGCAAAAATTATTCTATAAAAATTCTCCCGAGTTGAATATCGAATTTCCTTATAGTAGAACTTCAATTTCTCACAAAGACCTGCAGTTCTCTTGATAATTTTTTTACAGAAAAATGCCTTAAAAGGGAGAAATACTTTTGAAAATATTTTCAAGCACTTTATTTATTCTATAGCCTTGGTTTTTAAGCCAAATGGAATAAATAGTTTGCGAATTCGACTATTGAACTGAATTATAATGATGCTTATGGTGAAAAAAAATTTTTGGCTTTATAAAACAAACAGGAATTTTAAAGGATAATCCAATAAATAAAAAAAAAAAAATCGAGTTTTTTAAAATTTAGGAGTTTTAAATTTAAATACTTTTAAAATTTCGAATTTTATAATAAACTTCATTAAAGATTTTCTTTCCTTAGAAAAAGATTTCCTTAGAAAAAAGAATAAAAATTTTATATCAAAATTTGTAAAATTTTGATGAAATTTTTTTTTCTTAAATTTTTCAAAACATTAATTCAGCTTTTTTTTTCATTTTACCAATTAAAACTATATTCTCTTATGTTGTTATTATTATAAAAGTTAACCGCTGTTTGAAAAAATCGAATTCTTATAACAAATGGATCCCGAAGAATTGTTCGACTCGAACGCCATATTAATAGTCTTAATTGCTTGAACCAACCGCTATAAAGTCGCAGTTAATTTTCCAAAATGCTCAAAATTTTATCATTTAAATTTACTAATGAATTTGATAAAATCGAATTACAATGGTACTTTAGAACAAAATTTTTCTCCAATCCTCTTTTGGATGGTGAGGAGTTTAAATTTAAAAAGTTAAAATCGAAGCTTTTTTAAAAATTTGAAAAATATTCGAAGAAATTTGTCGTTTATCACTTATCCAATTACATAAAATATAAATCATAAAATTAAATATTAATATTATTAATATTAATATTAAATATTATAAATTATAAAATATAAATTATAAAATTATATAATTTATATTTATATTTATATAAATATAAATTATATAAATTATAAAATATAAATTATCAATTATTTTATGTTCAAAACAAAAAATGATAACCTCCTTTTATATTTTTCGCTTTTTCTGGCATATTCAATATCGTACTGTATATGTTTTATTTCTCCTTCTATAGATTCTAGTTTTGAATTAGATCCAACAGCTGTCTCATAAGTAGTTTTACCCAAATCAGAATTATCGAAAGCGTCGCATATTTCCTGTTACTTATTGGAATTACTATAGATTAGTAAAAGAATAAATTCTTGGAGCATATATTTCCTTGATATTTTTGAGAAAATGTTGAGATTCTACTTCTGGCAAGGAAAAATACTGATTGATGCTAGCAGTTCACTTGTGTTTCTATTGCCAAATAATATCTTAGCAAAAATTTTTCTAGACCAATAAGCTGGAGTGAGCCAAACCAAAAATGATGAGCAGCCTTAGGAAAAAGATTTAAGAAAATGAAATTCGATTTATAAAACTTTCAAATACTATAGATAAGAGAACATGTAAAGTATTTAGCGCATTTCCAATTATTTCGAAAATTTACAATCTTTTTCTTCGAATTATGGACCGATAAATCTTTTTTATATGATCCTCAAAGCTTGGTGAGTTTGGAGAACAGTAAAGACCGCAATGAGATTTTTAAACGAGTTCTGGGAAATATAGGAAATATTAAATTAAGCTAAATACTAAATTTGCTAAATAATGCCAAAATAAAGCCTTCTTTAATATGTAAGGATTTGCAGGCTTAGCAATTATATTAATTGGAAATTTTTTTTTATGGATTTAGAAATAAAAAAATTTAATATATAAGGGGGTAATTCAATTTTACCTCAACTTTACGAACACGTTGTTCTTCGCTTTCTTCATTAATTGCAAGTGTACTGATAAAATGATCAGCTGGATTGTATTTTTTTGGCATATAATAGCCAAGACTGAAATTTTTGTGAAACATTTTTAGCATAATATTCATAGTCGTCCAGCAGTTTACTAGCAATTTTCGTATATATATATATATATATATGGAACTAAAAATTTTAAAACAATCATACTCGTTCCACATGGAAACAGCTTCAGATATTAATCCAGTGAATGCTACTCTACCATTTGCAATCAAACATATCCTGAAATTATCAAACACATGATTCCTGGTGTCCATTCCTAAATCATCAACAAATAAAAGTTCTATGAACTTGGAAAAAGAAAAGAATACGACGAAAGATGGAAAAGTATTATTTCCATTATTTTTTTTTTTTAAAAATCCCCCACGATTGCTGATAAAAATCGCTCCACTGGCATGTCATACTTAATAAATATGCTAGAGAGTCCCTTGATTGATAAAAGTACAGGTGAATCGCTATCAATACTTGGATTTTTGGGCACGTTTACTTTTGGGATGGAAATATTGTAGGATAGAAGTATTATATTTGGGATATATAGAAATTAGAAGTCAAAATTAGAAAAAAATTGCAATGAAAAAAAAAATCGTAAAGCTCTGATTCTCTGATATCATGCTGATAAGAATCCTGATAAGCGCAAAATTGCGTCTATCATTATCGGTTGTTTCTATTGACTATCTGCCAGAGAGTCTCGCAGGAATGTCGCTTTAGCTCTCCATATCACATTGAATAGAAATTAATTTCACAATATTTTACCACAAATAAATAAACTTTAAATTACCGATCCAATGAAGCGAAAATTTGACTAGACGGTTGATGAATTGTCATAATTATTGTCATACTTTTTCGTTCAGCCAAATTCTTTAATATCTGCAAATCTATATTAAAATATTAATATAAAATACAAAATATTAATATTAATAAGAAAAAATACCAAATATTTGGTACTTCAAAACAATTTAGATGGACAACAATATAATATATAAGTTGCAATCGAATAAAACCTGAATGACTTGTTCAGCAAAAAATGAATCCAATCCTGAGGTTGGCTCATCGCATATGAGTATCGGTGGGCTTGTAAGAATCTGAAATTAATCCAATTATTTCTAAGAAAAACCGCTATTAGAATTTCCATTTAAAAATGCTGTTATATAATTATTTTGTACCAATGGGGGCATAGAATGGCTCAATGGGTTGTTGCTCAATTCGGAGTACCGCTAATGAGATTTTGTTCCACACAGAAGTAAACTTGTCCCAAAATTCGGGTAATGTTGGCTGCTCACCTGCACTTCAATCGCCAAGGGACTTCTTGCCAAGGGACTATATGCCTAGTGCGATAAGCTAGTATATTGTGTTTAACCAGTAATAATGAAGAAAGCTTCTTTAAAAAAATTTGCACCAATAACAAAAATTATTAATAAATAATATTTTCTGGTCAATTTTTGATTATTTGTTTATTTTTTTATCTTATAGATATAAAATAATTGAATGGATTTTAATGAAAAAAAATGATATAAAGTAACTTGCGATAGAATAGCTTAATGGGTTGTTGCTCGATTGGGAGCGCCGATATTGAGGTTCGATTCCCTGCAGGAGTAAACCTGCACAAAAATCGGGATGATTACTAGCGGCTCACTTGTATTTCTATCGCTAAGAGACTCCCTGGCATATTGTCCAATGCGACAAGCCAATGGAGCGAGTTTAATTCAATAATGGTGAGGATTATTTAAAAAAAATGATATAAAATAACTTCGCAAGCAAGTGCAAGCCTCTTCCGTTCTCCGCTTGATAATCCTTTGGTACTTCCACGTATACCAATCATAGTGTCTGCACATTCGTTCATACCAAGCTATAAATTTCCAATATTGTCTATGTTTATTTTTCAAAAAAGAACTATTAGGTTAGTAAATATTGTCAAAACCAAAAAAAAAAATATTACATAAAAAATATATAAATATTTATAAATAAAAATATATAATAAAATATAAAAATATTGTAAAAACCAAATTTAATTCGAATTTTTTAACATTTCTTTCATGGCCGATAATTTTTTATTTTCACTTATTAAAATAGTTTGGAGTGGTCGATTTCAATTTAGCGAGAATTAGCCATTATCTACAAATGTTAATTAAGGATAGGCGGACAGATTAACCTGTTCATGACCTTTTTAAAATGCAATTGTTTATCATTCGAATTTTTTTTTTGTTTTTTAAAAAAAATGTATTACATCGGCAATCGTCTCTATAACTCGCATTTCTCGCATTTTCTCCGTTATTCGGCCCATTCGCAACGTAGCCTAAAAAAATATTGAAGCAAAGTCGTAAATTTTCATTTAATAGAATTTTTTTTCTTGCTATGAGCCCTTCATTTCCGATTAGGTAAAAAGCCTAAGGCTTATTGGATTAGGAAAATTTTAATAGAGAATCAATCATTTCGCAATAGACAAATAATAGACAGGTCATCCGGATATTTTTTCCGGATTTTTGAACGACATATTTAATACGGAACTGGCTCGAAATAGAATTCCTACTTTGATGAGGACCTGCGAAATGAGAGTACCATTTAATAATTCTGAAACATACATAAAACATAAGTTGCTCACGAGCAGTTAATGAACCAATAAATAAATCGTCTTGTTGTATATAAGCTGAAAGTGAACGCACCGTTGATCTGTTCACTTTTTGTCCATTTATCCGAATCATTCCTCTCGTATCAAATCCATTCAAATTTTGTTGAGCTATTACATTAAGTAGTGTCGTCTTTCCGGAACCACTTAAATTTAACTCCTCCTTTTTAACACTTAAACTTTTATAAATATATGAAATTATTTTTTCCATTTATTATTCTATTAGTGATATTTTCTTATTATTGAAATCTCAACTTATCTTTTGAAAATCATTGATAAAACTTAAAAATAGTTGATTTTTAGAGAAAAGAGAGAGGATTAGGCTCGCTCGCCGCGTTAATTTATCGAATCTGATAATTTTTTTTGCCAGAGGAACTACTTGGTGATAGAAATATAAGTCGATAATTAGTATCATAGAGATTTTTTTTAGAAAGACAAGTTTATTTCTTCTGCTGAGAACATAAACATAGGCGTTTGAGAATGACAGCAACAATATATTGAAGCCATTCCAATACTTTTTTTTCATGAATGACTTTTTTCAACTTTTAGAAAAGATGAAGAATGAAGGAATATTATCACTAATCAACTGATGACTGATTAAATGATTAAAATTTGGATAGAATTGACCAAAATTTCTTCGACACAATAAAACAATTTGTACCTTTGGCCAAGTATTGCGAGAATTTCTTTAGGTTTAGCTATTCCATAAACTGCAATCATTATTAAAAATTAAAAGCAGACATGTGGGATAATACATAAAACCGACAATTGAAACTTATTCAATAGGTATACCATTTTTTAAAATATAATTCCGTTTTGGTAAAGATTGTTGAACTCCTTCAAAATCCAAAAATTTTTTCGCATAATCGATGATTGATCGCTTTTTTGGTTTGGCCTACAAAAAAAGTGCGATTTTATTTGGATATATGCTTAAGTCGTTTCCACTGAATGGATGGAAGCTAATATACCAATCTTTTGAATTTTTCTAATTGAATTTATCTACAGCTGAACCATGAGTTTCGTAGGAATTAGAAATAGTAATCTATCCTCTTCTTTGGACTGCAAAAAATCCCGAGTGATAAGCTCTCTCCTAATTTTATCATGTTTGATCGGCAATCAAAAAAGTCTATCATAGCTAACATAGCGAAAAATGCGAATGATTCGATTATTAAAACTGAAATAAGCAAAGCTCGAGGTTCAACAGAAAATTTTTTCCACATGTATTGCAATAACGAAATTTTTTTTTAGCCATAGTTTCTCCATGAAATTAAGAAAATTTATTACCCGAACAGAAATATCATGCCATGTGACTTGTACCAATGATTTAATTCTTTTATCAGCCGACTGCAAGAATGTCATTTAAAAAATTATTGTTGCATTGATAAATTTATTGATAAACTGATAGCTTTTTACAAATTGCGAAATAATTTTTAAATATTAAATATTAAATTAAATTTTTTTAGACTTAATCATATGGATAAATACATTTTAGTGATAAATCACTAAAATAGCATTCTACTGTTGGTAAAAATTATCTATTCAATGATAACCAGGAAAAATGATAAAGTAGGCTACTGATTATAAAAATATCGTAAATATTCACTACCCAAACATTATTTATTAAATAACAATATGGATTACCATTGATTCATATTGGTCGTTATTCCACTGAAAATCTTGAGGAGATTTCTCAACATTGGCCGAAATCTCAGTCGAACAAGTTTGCTCATCGTTCATCTCCACAATGATATCATTTTTATCATTATCATCAAACATACTGGCTAGAAAATATTCGTAATATACATTCATTTTATATGATCATCATTGGGTAATACTGGTGACCAACCGGCATTTCTAATCGCTGAGCACGTTCTTGATATAATTTTTTGATCTGGTGAAGGCATTTTAACCCATAAGTATAAATTGATAACTAATTAATTTAATAACTTATTTAATAATTTAATTTTTTAATTCCTCTTATCATTCCATCGAAATCATATGAAAATAGATCATAAATTAAAATTTTTCCCTCTTTCAAATCATTATTGGTTAGCTGATTATATTGGCTGATAAGGTGAAATGCTTCGAAGAGCACTAACTCGATGTGATTAAATTAAACTATAAATATTTTAATAAATATTGGAATATCTTTAGGATATTCAATTATATCTAATTGATTATAGATTACATATATATCTAATAGAAATGTTAAGAAAAAACAATTTTAATTTTTAAAAAAAACAAAAAAAAAGAAGTTGGAATTGGAATTGTTAGCCATCTAAGAACCTATCCATACGATTTGATAAAACGTTATAGGCTAACCAAATCACAAAGAGCAAATCGTATTCATAAAAATAGTGAATGTGTTATCAGTAAAAAGAGAATGACGAAATATTACCGAAAGTCACTCTATTTGTTAATTATTTACTGATAACTTCTGATAAGAGACGTAATTATTTCATTTTAGACTATTTTGCAATAAGCAAAACCACAATTTCATAAATTAATAACTTTTTTTCATTGTATTTTCATCGATAATTTAAGTACCACACATTAGGATCTTTTTGTACAGCCCATCACATAGTTGAAACCATTTTTGCAACGATAAAATTATCGATCTTTAATAATATCTACTACTTCACTTATTTCAAACTACCACATTATAAAAACCAATCATTATACCAATATACCGATAAATAAATAAATTATTTTGAAAGGTTTGGAGCCAAGAAAAAATTTTGGAGTCAAGAAAAAAAAAAAACGATGATCGTGCGCATTGTGCAAGTAAAGATGAAGGGAACGAAAGAAATGGCTTCAATTCATTTGTTCTAGTTCCTCACCATGATTCTAATTTATTCGCTATAACACATCACTATGATTCCAATTCATTCGCTCTAGCTCCTCATCATGACTCCAAATTCATTTATTCAAACTTTTCATTATGACTTCATGACTTCATGCACTCTGGCCCATCATCATGACTCCAATTCATTCACTTTGACTCAACAGCGTGAGTTCAGTTTATTCGCTTTAACTTATCATAATGATTTTAATTTAAGCCTATGCCATTTCTAGAAAAGTAATACAGCGTGATTAATTAGTTGAATGGAGAATCGACTTTTTTTTTAAGATTTATTTTTTCAAAATTTTTCTTGTAAATTTCAATTTTTTTTAATGAAAAAAGATTTAATTTTCAAAAACAGCAATTGCTAAACGATTGATATTATTTCGCCATAAGCAAATCCATCCATAAATTTGACGACACTTAGCAACTAATGTATATATGTGTTTCAATAATTTTTTTTCAAAATAATTTTATTGAACATTCGAGAATTAGTGAAATTTATTGTATTTTAATAAATTCCAGTTGTTTCAGTTTAGTACCATAAGTAGATTGTATTTTTTTTTAATTTCTTTTTTTTCATAGCGTATTTCAATTTTTTTTATTTTCATAAAAATTTCATATTTTTCATTCTAATCAATTTTTGTGATCTCAAATATTTTTTATAATTAGTCTAAGCTTGTGTGCACATTCCCGACATAAACTAAAAATGCATGCAAATTTTTCTTGACAAATGATAATATGTTAACCATTTGATAAAGATAATGTATGATTTTCATGTAATTCTTTCATTCCAGAAATTAAGAAGCATGAGTTACGGTGATAAAGTGATTGTTGCTGTACGTGTGCGTCCATTCAATGAACGTGAGATAGGTCGAAAAGTTGGTATTAATTATCCGCTTCCAATTTTTATATTAGTGTAATCGTTCTTTATAGAAATTATTAAATTCGTTTTCGCAAAAGAATTGTCACTGTTTTCAAATTACAATTTTGCAACATTTAAGTTGTCGACAAGCTCATTGATAAGATCACTGATAACATAAAAGTGATTTCTATGTGATTTCATCCTTGACTAATCCAGCCAATTCCTTTCGAATTTTCGATCATTCTCTAATATCGGTGCAGCTATTTGTACAGTTTTATTATAAATTTATTTAAGAAAGAGGATTATTAACTTTCTATTAATTATTATTAGTTTCAATCGAGATATGATTGTAATATTCTTAATAGGCTCGACTTATAATAGAAATGCCTGATGAACAAAGGACAGGAATTCGTGATCCAAATGCACCAGATGAAGATGCAAAATGGTTTACTTTTGATCATAGCTACTGGTCTCATGATGGTTTTAACGAAAATGCGGATGGTTATTTAGAGCCCATCAATAATCACTACGCAGATCAGGTCAAAACCTCAACATATCTCTATAAATTCTTAATAAATTTTCAAACGTCTTCCATTCATGCGCACATTGAATAAATCGCAATTTATTAAGACAAAATACACAAAATACAGGCCATTCAGCACAGATGATATAACTAAACGATAGATATATGGCAACTAAGGAAAATAATAATTTAATAATAAATAATAATATAATAATAATATAATAATATTAAAGTAATATGAAGGAATTAAAAATTGGCCATGAAAAATGGTGGCGAAATTTAAAAATGTAGCAATAAATCAAAAAATCATAGGTTAATAATCACAGCTTTTCTCGCCGAAAAATTAAAAATTCCCTAAGTTGAGCACCAAAAAATATGAAAAAACAGGTGAAAGATTTCGAAATTGGGTACCAATTGGTATGAAACCTTTTTAGTTTCGTGCAAATAATTGGTATAATCCTTTTGCTCGATATTTAAAAAGAATTTTTAATCTTAAATCAATTAAATTATAAGCGAAAAAAACGAAACGACTAGGCAATAAATTTGAGTTATAGAAAAATCATAGAAAAAGAAAGTCTTCAGAGAAAAGTTTTCAATGATCTTGGCAAAGGAGTGCTCGACAATGCATGGAATGGATACAATTGTTCATTATTTGCCTATGGGCAAACTGGTAGCGGAAAAAGTTACTCGATGGTTGGTGATAAAAATAATGCAGGTGATAGTTGTGATAAGAAAATCGCTATGACCTTATTATATTTTCGTAAACAGAATGATAAAGAAATTTTCAATAGTACTGGAAAAATTGTAGAATCTTTATTGTTAAGACGAGAGAACTGATAAGACAAAAAAACTTTGCATTCGATATGGTAAGCATTTGTGGAATATAGTTTAGCGATTTTTATAGTCTTTAGGATCAATCTATTCACAGGTATTATACCAATTGTCTGCAAAGAACTTTTCAAACAGATCGATGAAAAAAAATGTGTAGATCCAAAAACGGAATATCAAGTTTGTTTCTCCACAAAAAAATTTCCACAAATATTAAAAATGAAAAATTTGGCATAAATGAGATCAAAATTTTAAAAAAATTAATTGAATAAAGTTGATAAGGTGATAATTTAGTGAAAAAGGCAAATCGCGTCATATCACTAAAAAATTATTTGAGAAAGCACTAGGAAAAAAAATTTTATTGAAGGTATCGATCTCAATGTTTGAAATATATTGTGAAAAAGTTCGTGATCTACTCAGTGTTAAATCTCCACCTAAAGGCGGCTTAAAAATACGCGAACATCCAAAAACCGGATTTTACGGTTAATAAAACTACAGACTTTTTTCTTAGAATCGAAAAGCCTTATAAAAATGAATATCGGAATTTTGCATAAAAGGTTTTAAATGGACTAAAGGCGCTATATGCCGTCTTTATTTAACAATCATCTTATCATCAAGCAAATTACATTTAATCTTCAATGAATTGCGAATAGCCTATATGGGATTTGCAGTGGAGGATTTAACAAGTGTCCCAGTTAGTAGCTATTTGGACATTGAGAAAAAGATGGATGAAGGAACGAAACAAAGGACGATTGCAGCCACAAATATGAATGCTACGAGCAGTAGGTAAAGTTTCTAATCGCTACACCTTGAGAATGATTATGAAACTTTGAAACGCCATCTATGCTCTCCATTATCTATCTATACTATACTATTCGCGTTTCTACCATCAAATATGCTTACCGAAGTGGGACTTATTAATGAATGGAGTTAGGCAAATTAGATGATTGCTGCTGGAAAAAATTTTGCTGAGTATTTTCAGTCTTATCAGAAATTTATCAGAAAAAATTAATAAAAACAATAAGTGGTGATTTTGAAAAAAAATAAAATACTGGATAATAAATGGCCAATTTGGAAACTAGCATTATGGCATAAAATGGCTCCAAGGCCAGTTTAATTGTCCAACGAGCTAGCTAAATCAGTCTAATCAAAAATCGTGACAGTTTTTAAATAATATAATTGATAAATAATAAATGATATAATCAATCGTTTTGAATTTGATAAATCCAATTTTTTTTAGCTGATTATTAAATTGCAGAATTATAGGTCGCACACTATCGTTAAGATTCAATTTAATCAGAAATCAGCTAAAAACTCGCAAGGAACAACGAAAACATCTGAAATAAACTTAGTGGACCTTGCTGGAAGGTCAATGATTCCGATTTTTTTTCTAAATTTTTCAACTATTTTCCTTTTCTTTTTAAAATATATGGAAGTTCATAGGTACCAATATCGTATATTAAGTTGATAATTGGTAGTAATATTTTATAGTAAATAAATAGTTAAATAGCCCAAAAAATGAGTGGAATTAGGCGAGCGAAGACTCTCCACCGATTGGCAAAAAGTGCGAGATGAACAAAAATAGCACTCACCATTTCTAGTTCATTGTTTGCTAATAGGATGAGACAATTTTGCAAGAGAGTCATGAGAAGTACAAGTGCACCCTTCAGTACCTAGGAAAAATTTATTATTATGCGCTAAATTGCTTGCAAATATGATAATCTATTTGGATATTTTCTTTATCTTAAGCTCCGATAAAAATTTAGCGAACGTCAGAAAGACGCTGGATCAGAGGGTGATCGACTTAAAGAAGGCATTGTCATCAATAAATCATTATCAACATTAGGTCGAGTGATAAAGGCTCTTCACGAACAACAGAATGATAAAAAGAAAAAAAGGGTTCAGGTTTTTGTTTTGCTTCATTGTTTAATGATAACGATAATTTTTCTCATTATTCACAAAATTTTACTAAAATTTTACTAGCCGATTTATAGGTTCCATATCGAGATTCCGTTCTAACATCATTATTAAAAAATGCTCTCGGTGGAAATAGTAAAACAATAATGGTAAAAAATTTAGTGGACTTTTTTTTCTTGAATCAGAAAATTGCTTTTTTGTGAATTAAATTATAAATTATGTATTTAGATAGCAGCGTTATCACCAGCCGATATCAACTATGATGAAACATTATCAACTTTAAGATTCGCTGATCGAACAAAATCAATCATAACAAAGGCGATTATTAATGAATCGCCAACGGAACGAATGATTCGAGAATTAAAAGAGGAAAATTCTCGACTTCTCGAACAAATACGAAATCGTGGAGGAAATTTGAATGATAGCGATGACTCAAACATTGTTTGGTTTAAAATTTTTGGTTTGATTTGTTAATGAAAACTTAATTTAATAAAATTTTAAAGATTCAAACATAAATATTCATTGAACTTTTTTTTTAGCTCAATATAATTATTGTGGAATTATTTTCTAAAATTTGCGAAATAATTGAAGAACCACGAGAACCATAAAATTTCCTTTGAAATTTTTCATATAAAGAAGGGAAAGGAAAAACCTTTCAGAAACAGGTTGAAGCCTTAAAACGTCAGCTTGAAGAAAATCAAAAGGAAATGGAAAAACTTGAGCAAACATGGCAACAACGACTTGACGCCGAACGCCTCAAAGTAATCTATTCAATTGAATTTTTTTAGATTGTTACCACATTATTTTTTTAGAAAATTGTTTTATCATTCCAACTTATACAAATGATTAACTATCATATCAGCTGAAGTCATATCTTTTTATCATAACAGCAAAATAAAAATTCTGCCAAGTTATAATTATTATAGGAAATTAAAGATGGTATAAATAGTGATGATAGGCATATAATTGCACAACGAAGGAAAGAGCAACCACATTTGTGGAATCTAAATGAAGATCCAGCTTTGACAGATATGATTGTTCATTTTATCGAAAAAGGAGAAATCAAGCTTGGTTTGAATTTCAGTCGAGTTCCAATCTTTATTAACTTGTGACATTTTATGACGCGAATTAAAATAAAATTAAAATTTACTTAAATGCTTCCATCATATCTTTTATAGGAAATAGTAACGCAGATCCACCAGCAAATATTCAATTAAATGGTTTAAGCATTCAACCGAAACATGCTACATTTTTTAATAAGGATAATAAAAAAGTTACTCTAGCACCAGTTGATGGAGCAGAGATTTATGTGAACGGCAAAATTATTCGTACTGTTACACAACTTGAAACTAATGACAGGTGATTTGCAAGGAAGTTTTCATGTTTTCCTTATAAGATCTTCAAAAAAAAATTCCTATCTTTTAATTAATGGATGTCGCGAGGAGAAATCAAAACCTGGACTGATACATTTAGAAGATGTGCACACAATAGGCTGTACAATAATATGGGCTTGGAATAGTGGAAAAAAGAGTAGCTAAAAGGAGTTACCACTCAAATATGACACTGGATTAAGCAGCTTGGAGAAACTGCGTAACCAGTGGTGAGGCTGAAACCTATTCCATACCATTCATTTTTCGGTCATATGTATTCAAGGAAACAATAAGTGGAACTAGAAATAAATTTATATTTTTTAGAATTTTCTTTGGTGGAAATCATTTATATGTTTTTGTGAATCCTAAAAAAAGGCCAAAGAAAATGCAAAAAATAACTTACGACATGGCACAGCAAGAAATTGCGAAAAATTCAGCTCTCGCCGGAATTCTCTCAACGAGCGATAATAGCCAAAAATCCACTGGTTGGTTTTCTTAAATGAAACATGGCTCATCGATGCTCATTAAAAGCATTTTAAAACCAAATGCCTTAGTACCATAGCTAAACAAAGTGTGATTTGTAACGATAAATAGTGAGTGTAGATCATCTCTAAAATATTTGTCTTTACGGTACTTTTATCTTTTGTTGCAGCTGATCTAATTCTCGAAGAAGATTTAATTAATATCCTACCAAACGTATATCGAGCGAATTCAATGAGTAAAGAACTGAAAAAGAATGCTGTCTTTGAAATTATATTAGTCGCACCTGAAGCCAGAGGCTTAAATGATGGGCTCACCGAGGTATCGAATTTTCTTTCATGCAAATTCGTTCAGCGGTGCATAAATCTATTTGTGCGGTCGGATGTTCTAAAAGCTGAACACAAAATAAATTTGTTTTTGATATAAGATAAAACGAGATTTTGGGATAGAATAGATTAATGCGGCGTTGTTCTTTCGGAGCACTAATATCGGAGTTCAATGCGAGCAGAAGACAATTCGATTTACAAAAATGCAGGTCATATTGGTGATTAACCTCTTATTTCTATCACTTTCCTAAAAAATTTTATTTGATCTGGCAGGCTAAATGATCTGCAGAGAACCTAACCAGAAAAGGTGAACGGTTTTTGAAAAAAAAAGACCAAATTTATGTAGAAGGGAACCAAAAATTTCAAAAATGCCATGAAGTGCAAATGCTGGATTAGTATCATCGCAAAAAAATAATCTCATATAATTTTCTATGAAATCTTCAGATTTGGATCAAATTTCATGATAAAATCGATGATACTCAGTTTTTATGGAACAAAGACCGTTTTATGAATCGCTATTTTAGAATGCAAGAAATTTATCAAGATTTCGTTGAAGGTGACTCTAATTGGAGAGTGTCTAAGGTATATTTCATAGATAATTTAGTTTTTAATTTAGCTCGATTATTCTTGCCACTTTAAGCTTTATTTGTACTTTAGATAGATATAAGGGGTTGAATTGTTGAATGGCTTATTCCTAAAATAGACTTTAGAGTACCAATGCTTGGTTGCTATTTGTGGCTAGAAGTGATTTTTCAAAAATCCAGATGATGGTATTTTTTAACGATTAAATTCACCTGATTTGTAAAGCAAGCAGCAGAATAAGTTTAATCAAAAATAGTGGTTGTCAAGAAGAAAAAAGCCTAGAAAATGCTTTCTTTGATAATTAATAACTATAATTTTATTATTTCTATTATCACGATGGTAATTTCTTAGGAGGAAGATCCATTCTATGAATCCCCTCATAATGAATCGATTATTGGTTATGTTAACATATTTCTAAGAAGCCTTGCATTTTTGGTCGAATTGGAAGAACAATTAACTATTTTCGATTATTCAGGACATGACATTGGACAACTTGCAGTGGCACTTTTTCCATGCACAAAATCTGGTAGAGAAATTATAGGAGAATATGTTGAAAACCCTTCTAAACTAGTTAGTAAATTCTTGTTTACGGTGATTTTAGCGGAATTGACAAGTTTAATCTTTTTTTTTTTTTTTAAAATGTGTGGCCTTTATCATCCATTTTAAAACTATTTTATTTGTTTATACAATCTTCGGTCGTTCCATTGATGTCCTTGATTTTTATGGTTTAATAACCGTATCGAAACTTGCTAACTTTTTTTATTCTATTAACAAGGTGCCAAAAAAATATCTATTTTTAAATTTATATAAATTTATAAATTCATCATCAATTGAGGAAATATTAGATTTTCAATATCCTTGAACCAAATGGCCAAGCAAACCCCAAACCCCAATCCCCATAAGGCATTCTATCCTGTTGTATGGTTAAGGAACGTTGCCAGTTAAGCCTCTCCTTTCATCATAGAAATCAACGAATTCTTCGCTACTTGCTAAACTTTATGATGGATAATATGAAAAACGAGAAGGCCAAGTTAAAACCTGGACTGGTTGAAGTGAATCACTTCCAGATATGGCATAATCGAAAAACTTGTAAACTCCTCAATTCAAATTTCTATTCAACAGTAATTATATGTGTATTGCTTGAAAAAGAAACCTATATGATTTAACAAAAATCAATTCCTTTTACGATTTTTTTTTTCATTCAAATATTTTTTAAATTTTTATTTAGATCGGTCGAAATCTTGCATTTAAAGTGAAAATTATTGGAGCAATGGGATTACCTCGACGAATTGAAAAGGTTAGAGGTCAAAGCAAAATTTCAAAGCTTCAGGTTAATATATAATTTATAAATATATATAAACGTGATCTTATGATGCATCTAATTTATGGAAAATTTTGTTCAAAATTCTGGAATTTTAGTCGCTATAAATTGCAGTCGAGCAGTCGCTATAAATTTTTCGATCAACCACTGGCAATCACAAATCGAATAGCTGGAACTAATCCTGTTTATGGTCATGAATCTACTTATTCATATAAAGCAGTTACTAAAGAGGCTCGTTTAATAAGCTCGTTGAAGCATTTAATAATCTTTGAAAAGAAAAATTAGCTATAATATTGAAGATTATCGATATGTGATCATAATCAATACATATTTTTTTTAAATCTTATTTTTTTCATTTTTTTATAATTTCTTATTTTTTATTTATAATAATTTTTTTTTTCAGTTAGTGAATTATTTAAAGAACAATTGGTTACATGTGACTATATGGGGTACGCAAAGAAGTAGAAGTTTATCGTTACGACCGAGCCAATATGATATTCAAACTATTCCTTTAACGCTAAAAACTAATTCCGTAATAAAAAAAAAAACCTTAATATTTTATTTGAAAAAAAAAGTTTTTCATTTCTTTTTTTCATATCTTTCAGATTTTTTTAAATGTTTTTTTTTCGATAATACTTAAATTGTATTAAAAATTCTTTTTTTTTCTTGATAAAAAATGAAAATATGCTTTACAGAAGAAAATTAAGGAAAGGAAAAAATCTGTGGAACGAAAAAAAATAAAGAAAATGAAAACGAAAGCAAATGAACAATTTGAAGCATCCAATGGAACGAAAAATGAATTCGGCTCAAAATTAATTGAACCAATTAGTCAAATGTCAGCAAACATTGACGATTTTAAACCGAAACAATTTAGCAAAGAAAAACATAAAAAAATGAAAGCCACCATTGAAAGTATAGTTATTCATCAATCACCGAAAGGCACCAAAAAATTTAATCACCAAGACACCGAACTTAAGCTTTTACCTCATAAACGATTATCAATTGATGATAAAGAACAAGTAATGAAAAGGTTTGATAATATTTATTTCCATAATATAAATAAATCCTTATTATTCTGATATTTCAAAAATTTTTAGCCTAAACTTTTCGCCTAAGAAACGAAATCCTGAAAAAAATCGAAAAAATTTCTCTAGTAGGCTGCATCCATTTCAATGGAGAAGAATATTCTTTCGCTATTTTGGAATGGACTTAAAAAAAAGTTTTAAAAAGATTTAAATTCAATATTAAATTCATATAAATTCAATCATAATTATCTCAATCTGCGCCTAGTTCTTGCATCTGAAATCTTTATCTGAATTAATCTGGAATATCCTATAGCTATAGACAATGCTTCTAGCTGGGCTTGTAATCCTCGGATTCTCAGATCTGAACCATGATGACTTATCACATCATGGAAGTCTTCCGCTTTTTTATTCCTTTATCCAGAAAAGCAGTTTTAATTAATCCTACAATTCAACAATATCTTTTGAGACCACATTGATATAAAATTTGTATTATTATATTATATTGTATTATTTGTATTGTATTATTTGTATTAATAATATCAAATGCAATGAATTTTAAGGTCTTCCTCAGTATCTCATCAAAGGGCTTTCGATTCAGCACAAAATTTAGAGAATATTGCACCAGCGAATCGGGCCAAATCAAAAAAGAAGAGAGGCAAGTCTGCCACAAATAAACTTATAAAAAAAAATCCTTTTTAAGGCCTTTCTTGATTGAACGAACACATTATGTTGCAACTTTATTGTTAATAATTTGTTGATAAGAAATTCGAAATGATAACTTTTTTCATAAAGGAGGATTCCATTTATCAATGAAATCTAATATGCTGCTCGATCCAGTTACCCTATTATCTTTTTTTTTTTTTATCATAATATACTATCATAATTTCTTTTCTACTTTCCTAATAGTCCTCATCATTTAGCTGTAATGAATGCTAGGAGGCATTTAACGCTAAAGGGCCACTTGAAACAGATGTAATTGTACTATTTTATTTTTAACGGTATACATATTTTGTTCAAGGAGTTGATATGCAGAATTTTATGATTAATTTGAATGTTCTTATATAGATAGTCGTTAGTGATATTATTTAATATTTAGAATATTTCTTGCCATACGCATCAATTTTCATCTACTGAAAAGGCAATCTTCCTCAGAAGCAAGCTTGCCATTAAAAAATCCAGTGGTACTTAAAGCACATCTTTGTTTCTTAGAGTGACTCCTTAATGATAATTCTCTATCGTACTAACAGCCGGTGGAGTAATCCTAATCAAAGTTGCAAATCGCTTACTTACTTATATCGTTTACTCGTTTACTTACTTATACCGTTTACTTGCTTATAATGCTCAGCCATAAGAATTTTTTGTTTTGCTTTCTTGTACCTTTTTATTTGTTTGTTTTTATTTGTTCTATTTATTATAAATAATACCAAAGTAAAGCTTTAAAAGTAATCAAATAGTTTATATGTATGACAAATGAAGATCAGATACCGCGAAAATTTTTTCAAATTCCGGCGTTGGTAATTCTCTCGTCGAACGAGTCTGAAAATTATCTAATTTTCACAAATATATATTTTGATTTTTCTCTAATCAATTTTGGTATTTCGATGATTAATCAAAATCGCTATAGAAAAATTAATTATTAGATCAAAAATTAATAGATTGAATTTGATTAAATAATTAAATATTCACATAAACAAATCATAAAACTATTGATTTGCGTTCAAAATAACTGATAAATAACTGATAAAATTTTAACAAAATATTTTTTAAAAAATTAGCGATAATATTTGATTTATTAAAGTCGAAATTTCTTATGATTTGTTGGTTCTGAAAATGAAAAAATAATTTTTTTCAAAAAATAATTTAATTTTTTTTTCGTGCCTATAATTTATTTCTTTTTATTTGAATTGTAAATTTTAAAATTTTTTTTTCATTACGAATTGAAAAGAATTGAAAAATCGAGAAGACAATATAATGATGTTTAAAATTTATTTTTAATCATCTTTAGAAAATAGCGCCTAAAAGCTTATTTCGCTTAAAAATATCACTAAAATCATACAAAAATTAACCTGAAAGAAAAGCCGATTTTTATGGATTATTCCTGTTCCTTTGAGTTTTTCCAGAAGTGAAATCATCTGATTATTCGCTAATGGAACTATAAAATATGCGCTTCGTCTATAAATTGCATAAATGTCGGGATCCCACTCAAAGTCTTTATCAATGTTCTAAAAAAAACCGTCAAAATTTTTGTTCTCTTATAACAAAAAACTTATCGAAAAATCTTATTTTTTTATCAGATTTTATCAAAAAAACGATTTATAAAAATAATATAAGTCTTTATCAATGCTACTGTAAGAGGGAAGTTGGCATTTCGTTTTTTTTTTATTTGTTCATTTGATTAAATCTATCGACTTTCCAGTTCCTCTTTCCTTATAATATTGCAAATCATACTTATCATAATTTTTTTATCTTCTCGAATTTACATTTTATTATTTGTTTACAATTTTTTTTGCAAATTATTTATTTTTTTCTTTTGCAAAAATTTGCAAAATTAGAATTTTTCATCGATCAGAATACCATTGATCTATTTTACAGTTGAATGTGCAACTGGTTGGATGAATTGTTCAACGAGGATTTACCAAATGTATATCCATAATCGCTTATCTCAATTCATGTTTCACGAATTCCAAAATTAATTATTTCTAATTTACTGGCGCCTAATAAATATAGAATTTTCAATTTGAATAAATTTGATGTTAAAGGTGATAAAAAAATTAAGAAATTCCAAATTATGAAAAATATATATTTAGTTTTTAAATATAAAAATAGATATTTGAAAGAGAATTTGATGAATGTAGAGTGGAACGTACATAGAATTTTTTCAGCAATTTATAGAGAATGCTACTTGCAATTTGAAAATTATTTGCATATAACGGTCCAACAAGGATTCTTCGGACATAACCACCAGCAACTTCTCGCATATTTCCATAACCATTTATATTTCCCTGAATTTTCTTTTCTCTTTTCTCAATTACAATTTACAAATATTGAATTAACTCGATATTTAAAAAAATAAAAATGAAACCAACAAGTTTCGATTCTATTTTGGTAATTTTAGAATTTTTTTTTTTCGAAAAGCTATTTCAGTATTTCTGGTTAGATAGCACACTTCTCTAATTTGTCAAATCAATTGAAATTTGTTAAGTCATTTAACGAATTTGATTAAAAACACATAAGAGAAATATAGAATACAGATAAAATTTCCAGGATCATACGGATTTTTGAATGATAGTTTTATTCTTGTCAGCAACAAATATCCAGCATGCGACGTACAATAACGCAATGAAACAATCTATATTCCTTTTCCCTTTCCTCATTATCCTCTCTCCCTTCTATTCCTCCACGTAAATTAGATTAGTATAATTTCTTTTTAAATTTTTTCAATTACTTAAAATGGAATCTTATTTATATTTTTCGAACATTCAAAAATATATTCTTTTTTTTTTTATTTCTTTTCTTTTATTGATATTTCTTTTTTGAACGAAAAATTTGAAACATTTTAATACATTTGTTCTTGTGAAGGTCATCTAATTATATTTTACATCTTTTTTTTATAAATGGTAAAATAATGGTAAAATGGTAAAATAAAATAAAAATTAAATCTATTTCACTAATTTTTATTCAATAATTATTTTTTTAGCAAATAATATATGAAAAAAATGAAATTGAAATTTTGTCGGAAACAGACTTTAATTAATCAAGCAACATATTTTTTAATTAAGCGAAAAATTTGAACCTTTCCATCGAATGAAACAAATGTATCTGAAAAAACACTTGCGAGCCATTTTTCTATCCACTCCTTACGTCTAATTTTGCAAACATTAAAATCATATTCGACGAGTTCCATCAATTGACTTTCTGTGAGTTCTGATAACTTTTTTATTTCAGCACTTGGAATAGCCTAAAATTTCATATTTCATTGGCTTTAGAAATTTGATGTTTTCCAATTTGATGTTTAAATGTGTTAAAATGAGAGAAACTAGTTTTTTTTGGTTCTTGCAGTTCAAAAAGTAAAAATAAATAAGTAAAATAAAAGTTCTACTAGTAGATTTTCGAATCCAGAACCATTTTCCACAGTATACTCAAAAAATTTCCATTGTTCACATTCTTGATTAAAGCCAAATCGAGAACATTTTGTAGCGATATGAGACACTGAAAACCATTTATTTTAAGCAAATTTGCTGGTGAGGATCGAATAGCTCAGTGGATTTGTAATTTTATTTCATAGCAATGTCGAAGAGATTCTGCTCCCAGTAAGAGCGAAGCTACCTACTATCTTTCAAAAATTTTGGAGATGTGCTAGCAACTTCCTAATCCGATAAGCTAGCCGAGTTAGCCAGAAATAGCGTTCTTAGATCAAGAAATTCGCTAGGAGTATTCATTTTTCACATTATATTTTATATTTCTTTATTGATAAATTAAATGAAAATCAGGAAAGGTCAGTTAACTTGAATGGAAAATCAACGTTTTTCCCTTCATATTTTTAAGTATTTCATTAAATATCTTTGATCCAATTCCGGAATGTCGATATTCTTCGGTGACATAATATAAACCAAGTTGGACAATCGTTCCATGATTAATCAAACCAACTGAACCGACAACATCGCCTTCTAATAAATAAAATTTTTTTTTCATAGAACTAATTATAAAAAAGTTCGAATTCAACTTCAATTATTATTTATAATTATTATTTATAATAATTTATAATAATTTATATTATTTATAATAATTATTATTTTTACCCAAATTCTTAGCGACAATAAAGCGAAAATCGCCATCAGAAATCGATTTCCATACGAAAAAAGATTCATAGTTCATGAAATACGAATCGGATTCAAATGATAGCGCAACAATCTGAAAGTGAAATTAATTGGAATGAAGAAATGATAAATGAAAAAAATCTAAAGAAAAATTTTTTAAATTAATTTTGTAAAAAAAATTATTATTAAGGCAATTATTATTAATTATTATAATAATTATATCAAAAAACATATTTTTAGCTTAAGTCATTTACTTAATCAGCAAATTATCATCATACTTTGTCATAATCATTTTGTTCGCCTTCGTAAAATTTATACCAAAGACCATATTTAGAATAGGCACCGATCCAAGGATTTCCACAACTTTTTGGATGAGCGATTTCGTAGGTTTTCATTGGTATTGGCTCTCCAACAATACGTGGGACTTGTCTTCGTAATACTTCTTTGAATGATTCTAACTTTTCGATTTTTTGCATAATTCGCTAAAATATTATTAAAAATGCTATAAATAAATATCAAATTTGTACTTTTGGAATTAATTTTGATATTTGTTATTATCAGCTTAATTTGGCGTTTAAAAAATCATTTCGAAGGATAATTTTATGGAATTTTTATTATGTTGTAAAAAAAAATTAATTTTCTATTTGTATTTTTGAATAATTTTCATTTACAGTATCGTTGGTTCTATAATTAATTTTTGACAATAATTCTTTCATTTTTCTAGTTTTTTTTATTAAACTTTTATTAAATTTTTACTTATAAAACCGTAAAAAATTTAAAGTTTTTTATATTTGTTTCTTCAATTTATTGAATGTCATGAAAAAAAAAATTTATGACTGGAATAAATTAAGAAATTTCTGGTACTTCGATAAAAAAAAAACTCTTTTGATTTCTATTTAAGAAAGAACTTTAAGAAAATACAAGTTCTTTTTCTTATACAAAAAAATTTTTTTTCTAAATGCTTTCGTTACGTTCCGCTAACTTTTTTTGCTCAGATCGGGCCAATTTAACTATGAAATAGTCACATGGCGATAAGAGTATAGTTGAAAAGCCAATATCAACTCGGATTTCAAATTTATTGCTTTATAGGTTTACTCTAAATAGAATTCGAACATTGGCGTTTCGTAATATAATATATTGAATCTCACAAGAATCAAAAATAAAGTAAATAAATATAAGCATAAATAAAGTTATTTTTCTAGATTTATAGAATTTCATTAATTTATTTTGAAAAGTAGAATATATATTAAAAGTCATATGAGTAAAATAAAAAAAAAATTATTTATTAACACTTATCACTTATCACTTATTATCACTAAAGTAAATTAAATAAAAGTATAAAATAAAATAAAAATATAAAGCTTTGACAGTCTATATATTGAGAAAATAGAGCATACACCAATTTATGCGATAATTTGATGTAACAATGTAATAATCGCGAGCAAACGATTAGTATGATCACTTTCCTATTTGAAATCTTCGATTACAGCTAATTGCTTCAGTCTATTTGGAAACGCCGAACATAATCATTTTCTATTGCCATGAAATTCTCTATTTACGAAAAGATTTGAAAGATTTCGATTTATTTGAAGCACGAATGGTTGAGAACTTCTAAAAGCAAAAGCATTAGATGTAATAGTTGAATATTTCGTTATGATGATTCTTCAAAGAAAAAAAAAATTTCAATTGAATAGTTATTTTTTCTCGTAAACTTATTATGTAATTTAGTTAGTTGAAAAGTTAAAGTTCGCTTCAGATGAAAAGATTCATTGTTCATTTATGATGTTTATCTTGAAATGATTTTAAAAATAAAAAATTTGGATGATAAATGATTAATGATAAGTGATAAATAGCTCGAAATATGAGTGGCTTAAAGATTGTTTGGTTTGTTTTTTTCTTTCTCATAATTACCTAATCGGGAAAACAGGTTTTCATGAAGAAAAATTTTGATAAAATTCGATGAAAAATTTTTGCTAACTGAGAAGAACGAAATTGTAAAAAAGAAAGAATTAATATAAATATTTTTAATTTCTACAATAATTGATCAAAGATTTATATAAATATGACACGAAAAAAGTAAAAACAAGAATTAAGATTATGTTAGTGAATTTTTTTACTACATAACTATTTTCTTCTTAAGAATGTTCACCTTCGCTGGATAGGCCTAATCCACAAACTATACAAACCTTATCACTCGATAATAAAAGTGCAGATGAGTTATCAGTATTGTCCGAACATCATTCGAATATTATATTATACTACTGGTTTTAACTTCACCGCATATCGCCTATCATTTCAGACAACCCAAAATATTGATAATATATACGACAAAGTACCATATTTCACTCCGATAAAGCATGTGACAGTATATTTTCATGCTTCATCCAACTGAAAAGATGGGGAATTTTTTACCATTCGCATAATATCTTTCGGCTCAAAAGCTAATTTTGGCCAACTAAACTTGCAAATGCTAAATTGTAATATAATATAATATATTTTAAAATAATTATTTAAAATGAGAAATGAGACTAGTTCGTCAGTCACTTGTAGGATATAGATGATTGATTTTAATGCAAGTGGGAGCCCAGAGTATAACTGAATTTCAATTTTAATGGCATGACTGATTCCGTCAAGAGATTTACCGAAACTTACTACGATGATTTGACCTTAACTGAAACATTCTGTCCTTTTATTCCAAGTATTGTACTATATAATTCATTTAAATATTACAAATATTAAATTGTAATATAATATCTAATATATTTCAAAATAATTATTTATTTAATACTGTGTATATTTAAAAATTTATTATGATAAAAAAATTTTTGATAAAATATATCAGAAAATATCAGAAAATAATAAATAATTACAATGACATATTAATATTAATTAGTAATCATTAATGCGATATTATTCAGAGTTTCCATTTGAATTTTTAACAATCTAACAATAATTTTTATGATCGTTAAAACATATCAAATATAGATACTGGTTTTCAAGTTTAGCTAAATTTCATCATCATTTCTATTCTATTTGTCAATTTCGGTTGAAGTTCGAAGTGAAATTGTGTTGTAGGCAGTCGTTAATGATTTCTATATAAAGGTGTAAATAATCAGCAAAAGTCGTCAGTAATTTTCGTGCATCAAAATTTGTTTATGATATACTATAAATTCTTTTTCGCCTTTTCTTAATGAAAAATTTAAAAAATTTTATCTTAGAAAATTTTAAAAAATTATATTTTGATAATTTATTTTTTAATAATTTTAATAAATAGTACTGTACATATAAATCATTGAAAAATTTATTTTTATCTTTAGCATAAATTTTTAGATTTTTTGAATAAAAAAAAAAATTCGCGAAACGTTTATAAATATTCTAACTATTATTATTACTATTATTATTATTACTAATAATAATTATTATTATCGAACATTATTATTGTTATTATTAGTATCGAATATTATTATTTAGCCTACATTTGTCGCTTTTTTTTTTCTGTCAAGTCAACAATTCTCAAAATTTCCGATTAGAATTGTTCCACTGGTTTGTTGGAAAAATTATGCCAGAAAAACGATTAGCAAAAGAATTTACAAGTAGATCGTCAACTCTACTCGAATTTTTTCACGAAAAGACTAGTTTGCTCTTCCCGGAAATAGAAATGCAGCATCGATGTATTAAAATGATACCGAGAAACCACTGAGCCATTGTAGCATACTTTTAATTATGCCACTAAAATATTTTTGATCTAAGAATTTCAAAAAAGCGAAATTCATGATTCTAGGATTCGTCTTGAATTATTGAATTTTTGCAATAAATGTTTTCTATTTTTTGGAGTTGAAATCTTTTAAAATTATTTGCATTTAAATATTACAATTTTCTAAAATTCGGCAAAAATTATTTGCATTTAAATATTACAATTTTCTAAAATTCGGCAAATAAAAATATTATGAAAATACTTTCACTGCAAAAAAAACTAGTTCATGACTCATATGATTGATAAGCGCGATTATATGATTTTATCAAGATAAATGCGGAAATTTTCATGTTGATTTTCAAACAATTCAACTGCATAAAGCTTTTATTTTAGTCCCTTTTTTTATAAAAAATAAAAATTTCTATTGTTTTTGCTTTCCTATGAGAATGAAGCAAAACCGATTAGTTAATTTAGCAGGAATACTATTTAATTTTTTATAGATGCGAATTTATGTCGTTCTTCTCTTCATTTTCTTTATACACAATTGCTTATCACAAGTCCATAGACAATGTGATTGCCTTGAAATAAAAGCATGTCGAGCTGAACTCGAAAGTATTTTAATGCCATGTGCTGATCGATGCCAGGTATTATCTATCGTTTTTGAGCGTTCTTATAGTCAAACAAGTAAATAAGTGATCAAATAGTGATAATTCTTGATTTATCTTATCAAAATGCCTAATTGTCTAATTGTCTAACGTAATAATTATGATAATTATTGTGAAAATCGATACGTTAAATTAATTTATCCAATTTTAGTCTATTAAGAGAAATATCTGAAATTTTTGATTTCATTTATATTAAATTTATATATTCTTCAGATTCACAAAAAAAATAATCCAACCTATTAATTAATTAAAGTGATAATAAGGTGATAAGAATTTTTTTAAATAATATTTAAGAGATTCGCGTCAGCACTCAATGCAGATTATCGTGCTTTAAGAGGTTGTTTTAACCAAATTGAATCAAGATTACGTGCTGCAGCCGAATGTACAATGAATGCTTTCCCAAATGCGTAAGAATTTCATGAAAAAAAAAAAAAAAAGAATTTACTAGAATTTAAATAATTTATCCTTAATAGATCTATGCTTTTGAGTAGAGAAAAGAAAAGAATAATAACAATTTTTATTATTGCATATCAAATTTTTATAGAAAAAATTTTCTTACTGTAATCGTATAAAGTAAAAAATAAATTTTAGTTGTGCACCACGAGGACAATCGAAAATGATTCCAAAACGAAATCCGGCTGGACTTGAAATTGCTATTGCAAATGAAGTCAATACTATGCTATCGAATTCCGGTTTCATATTTTTTCTAATTTTATATTTTATTATTTTATTTATTTATTTATTTAAGGAATTAAGCACACCATACTTCTATATTACTAAATTGCTAATAATAAGTTTAAAGAATAAAAAATAATAAAAAAAGGATTTTAAAAAATATAAAATATAATATACTACTTAAATATAATATACTCAAAAATATAAAATATAAAAATACAAAATATTAAAATTAAAAATAATTAAAATAAATAAAAATTAAAAATATAAAAGAAACAATATAAAAGATAACAATATAAATAAGAGAAACAAAAGAAACAAAAAATAATAATGATAGAAACAACAATTATAAATGCTAAATGATAACTAAATGAAATGCTAAATGATTTGTTGTTTATCAGAATATTATCAATTGATATTATTATTTATTTATTATTTATAAAATGCAATTTTTATTAATGGACATAAATCGAGCGAAAACGACATTTGACCTTTTAAGAAAAAATGAAAAAGCAGTAAATATTAAGGGATTAGTCTTACAAATAGAGCAATTTCAATCCACTATTTCTGTTAGCATTAACAGGTAAGCAAAAATAATAATAATTAATTCAGCTTAAATCGGTATATTGGTTTATCGAAATACTTTGCAAGCAAGAAAATCAAATCAAAATTGATTTGATCGATTTTTTTTCTGATCTAAATGAATTTAGAGCTATAAAAGTTTATTCTTGGTTTCAATAATTGATTGAAGGCTCGGATTTTAAGCAACCTAAAAAATTTTCTGTAGAACCTTCAATTGACTGACGATTTATGGTATATATTTTAAATAACTAATCTTTAGAAAATACAACCGTCTCTAAAATTTTTAAGAATTTTTAGAAAAATTTATGCAAAATCGCAGTTTTTTTTTCAATCAACGAATAGCCTATTTAAATGTTATCAGACCATATATATAGCATATTAATACATATGTAATTTTGTAGGGTCAAATTTTAAATATTTATTCGACTGATAAAATTGTTAAGATAGCCCTGAGGACCACTCAATTTCCTCTTGCACCATGTAAAAAATATAATTTACAATGATCAGCCTATAAAAAAAGGTATTGCCAACCACTTAGTAACCATTTAGTAAAAGTACACGAATTCTTCATGAAACTTTTTCACCCATTTGCGAGGATCTTCATTCGCATTAAAAAATTAATATAAATATATAGAAATTAATAATTAATTAAATATACAAATTCATAAATAAATATATAAATAATCAATAAATAAATATAAAATATATAAATATTAATGCAATTAATATTTAAAATAAAGGCTAAAATAATTCTAGTGATAATTTGAGCACTTGGAATTGTGACCCCTAAGTAGTTCCAGCAAATTCCAGAAACAACATCAGAGATCTCCGTTCAGGAGAGTGCGCTGTTAGGAACAGCTGTGATACTGCGCATAACCCAATCTCTCAAACCTCTCGTAGAAGACTCGAGGTTGAGGATCATTACGGTCACCCACAAGATGTTTCCACAAGGGATGAAAGAAAAATTTTTATATAAAATTAAAAAAGCAGCAATTTAAAACGATAATTAAATTATAGGTGTAGCGAATGAAATGAAAAATATTCTTTCAACTGGTCGTAAATTTTTCAAATGTGTTCAGCAATGTACGACTAAAACATCGTGTGTTTCAAAACTGAAGTTTGTTTTTATTTTTAAATTTTATTCATTTTTCCTGATATTCCTGTTTATTCCTGTTTCTATACCGACACCATAAGTCACCATAAATTCGTAAGCTATTAATTACTTATCAGTTCGATAAGTAATATTGGCCACCAATAAATAAAAAATTTGTATCAAAAACTTGAATATTTAATCTAACTATTAATTTATTATTTAAAAACCAAATAATGGAGATCAGCAATTTTAATTTTAGCTTAATTTTCAATTTTAGTTCTTAAATTGGTACTTCAATTTTCGACTAACTGACTAAATTGATTCTATCATTCTATCGTCTGATATCTAAAAATATAGAAATGACACAGTTGGTTATAGAAGACACCTTTGTATTTCTAGTTACAAGTGATTCTCTGGTGAAAAAATTTTTTACCATAGTAGTCTACGGACCCAGTCAGTCGTATTAAAAAAATGAACTAGCAACTATGAACTAACTAGAAGAAATCATTTCCAATCTTCTCAACTATTAATTCAAATCTTATTCTTTTCTGGTTCTTTCCTGAAGAGAATTGTTACAATTTTTTTCAGCTTTTGTCCATATTATTTTATGATTTATATAACAGATGTGGCCTCGATCTACCATCAGATACTGTTTTGGTACAAACAGGTAAACAATGTGCAATTAGTAGCGGTGTAAATACAGCTGTTGTCCAACAGATGTGCAATTGTGCTGTAAATGCAGGAATCAGGTATGATTTAATTTTTTTTATGAACCATTTTTTAATTTTTTTTTTTTATTTTTTTATTTTTATTTTTTTTTATTTAATTTATGCGAAAATGTAATTATTTCTTTTAAAAATTAATTAAATTTTAAAATATAAAATAAAAAAATAAAAAATATATAATAATTATATTTATTATAGGCAATTACAATCGGTTTGCCCACGTTTGATAGTCTCGTAATAGCTGTATGATTTCACAGTTAATTAGCTCTCAAATGATTTCAATTGTTATGCACAATTGATTATTGAAAGAATTTTGTCAATTCTTCTTCTATTTAACAAATTGAATTTAGCTGGAATAACAATAAAAATCAAAAAAAAAACAATTGTAATACAATACTGTAAATCGAATAAAAAAAAACACTAAATTAAATATAAAAATAATAAATCAATTTTGATAAATTTAAATTAAATCGTTTAATATTTATTAAGAATTTCCTAAACTGGAAAAGTGGCTTCAACAAATTTCATATTTAAAATCAGAGATCACTATCGAAAAGAGCGTACTGTTAGGAATAAATAGTTAAGACAGTACCCTCAATCTTCTGGGCCTCTGATAGAAGATTTGAGATTTAGGATAGTCCATATAATCCACGATTGGTGAAAAAGAGAATTTTTTTTTAGATAATTTCCAAAGCGATCTATCCCTTATTTGATTTTCCATTAGTAAAACGCATAGAATATGAAAAATTTAAAAAAAAAATTTTGATGAAAATAAAATGAGATTTAAAATGAGATTAAACGAATAATTTCAACTAAAATGGCTAAATAATTCGTCGTAATAATTTCGTAATAAATAATAATTTCACTTATTTTTATTTTATATATTAATAATAATTTTCGTAATATATAAGTCAAAGAAATTTTAATAATGAAAGATATAAATGTAAAATGTAAAATAGAGAGGAAAATTTTTGGATTGAAAATCGCTTATAAGAAAATTTATGATCTATTCCAATTGGATTAGCAATTTTTATCAATAAAAAATATTTTATCAATATTTTATCAATAAAAAGACCGACAGTTTAATTCGATAGATATTTTTTTCTTTTATAAAAGAGCATTATGCATATCACAGTTTGGCATAGTTACTCGTAAACTATCCATTGTCACCTGCAATAATTCCAGTTTATTCGAGAAAATAGAGATTCCATAAATGTGTGAGAAAACTAGGAGAAAACTTACAGTGCTAACAAGTTTCCATGCTTCAGCACTACAATGACGATTGATAATCGGGCGACTGCAACGCAAATACGAATCCATGACCGAACAAAGCTTCTGCAAAATTTTTTTTACTTCCCCTAAGGTATTATCAATTTATATTGTAAAAAACGATTCTAGAAATATCGAAAAAGGCTATTTCCATAGCATAAAAAAATTTCAATAGTTTTTTCAAATATTTTAGCAAAAAAACTAATAAAAAAGATAGACGAAAATATATTAATCCTCTGAATTTAAAATTTACCTCGAAATAGTCGTGATTATCTGAATTTTTGCCTATTTTGGCATTTTTAATAGAATTTCCAGCATTTTCTTTACATTTTATATAATCCTTACGCAATTCGACCTAAAAACGCTTTTGATTTAGTGGTGATGAAATCAAATCTTTATGAAATTTCAATCAGTATGGTAATTTCGGTGATTTTTTAAACGACAAAATAAATTATAATTTAGAATCTAAGTATTTAAAAATCAAAATTTGAAGAATATATTGTGGTACTAAAGACTGATTATCATGAATTTGAAAATAACTCAAAAAATGACCTAAAAAATTCTCTAAAAGATTGCACCATGTTGATTATAAAATACAAAGTTCGCAAAAAAAAACTTACTAAAGTCTTTCATATATTTAGAAATGAAACAGAGCATATGAATATTTTATTTTATATTTCACTAGCACTAATAAAAGTGCGGGCACAATGATTGCTCAATTGAGAGCGTTGATACTGAGGTTTCTATTCTCCGGAAAGGTAAACCTACAAAAAATTAAGTGATGCTGACGACTCACCTATATTTCTATCGTCAAGGCACCCTCTGACACATTGTTCTAATTAACAGCCAGCGGATAGAGGTTAACCAGTAATAGTAAAGGTTCTTAAAAAAAGCACTGATAAAAGCAAGTCAAAGAGATGTATGATCCTATGAATGGCCAAATTATACAATATAATCAGTAGGTTATGAAATTTATCACCATAGTTGTTTTTTGATACTATTGCCCTTTCTTCCTTTTCAAATTTCATACATTATTATCGGTATGATTGGCTTAAATAGTTCTAATAATGAGCTAAATAAGCTAAATTAGCTAAATTTCCGAAGCCCCTCGGTGTGAAACCATGTAAGAGAATAACCTATGTTTTTCATTTTTTCCACAGTCTATGAGCATTTATTGCATCTCATCTATGTTTCAAATTCCTCTTGATCTTATCAATCTGCACATTGAATGAACCGAGTTCTTGATGTCAGCCATCGAGAAGAAGATTTTATAAGGTAGATATCAATTTTGATAATATGGCGGAGATAAATATGGCCTATTCAACACAAAATATATCCTATTTGCACTTAAATTTCCATTAATTATTGTATACCGTTATTAAATTTTTTTTGCCAGGAGAACTCAACGTTTCCTGATTAGGCTCGTTCTCTTGATTTATCGAACTAGGCACAATTTTGGCCAAATAGTCTTTGGTTTGGTGATAGAAATGCAAATGGGTTGCTGGTCCGAAAGATAGGTTTGCCCCTCTTAGAACTGAAATCTCAGCACTCGCTTCTCGAAACTAGCAATCCCTTGAAGCACTCTTTTTCTTTATTAAAAGTCGCTAAATAATAAATGGGCATAAAATCGTATTAGCATAAATTTTTTCCTTTCCTTTATTTCCTTTATTTAGGAGAGAAATAAATATGAAAAATTTGTCCTTCTCAATTTTTTGAATCGCTAATAGAAATCGAATAAACAATTCAATAAAACTGACATAAAATTTTTTTTTCCCAGTAATAAGAATATCGTTGGAAAAAAAATCCTATTTTAAGCTCCCTTATAAAATTCGATTGACTAACAACGCAACATTTCTTAATATTTCTATTTTAACCCAATCAACTGATTATCGCAATAAGATACTGTGATAATGATATGATAAGAAAAGCTTTATCTCCTTCTTTATCAAAAAGCCAATTAAGAAGCTAAAATCGGATATATGGCCTATCATCTCTTCCTCTGCCTCTCTTCTAATTTTATTTCGTTACATTCATTTTTGTTTATTGGGTTTGTTGGTATATCGGTCAAAATTCTTAAATAGATTTTCAATTTCAATAGCCATAAAAAACTAACTACAAAAAAATGATGCATAATTTGATTTTTAAAAAAATAGAAGAGAGAATTAGAAAAATTGAATAAAAATTAGCACAAAAGATTTGAAATGAGTTGATCTGATAAATATGAATTGATGAACTGATAAAATTTTGTTAGATTTTACTTCAGCAAAGCAATCTGCATGCTTTTCGAATAATTTATAACCTGAACCGCACATATATTCATAACTCGCATCAATTGCTTCTATTGAACGACTTTTACAAATCACCATTTGCGTACAATCCTAAAAAAATTATAAATTAAAAATTGAAACATAAAAATATCTGAATTTAATTAAGCAATATCAGTGAGAATTTCGATACAAAGAAGATAGAAATGAAATGCAAATAATGAAATTTCGCTATTTGCTAAACCTTGTGATGGTTAGCGTCAAAAACGAGGTGGGCCAATCAAGACCTGGACTGATACGGTGAGAAAAGATTTCGAACCTATAGGTGGACCAGCAATATATGGACTTAAACGATGGAAATAGGAATGGCTTCCATTACTGTCGACGATGGCATCAGATCGCGACGCTTGGAAGTATCTTACCCTTTTAGCAGTTGGAGCCAGTAATGGTGAGAAGAAGAAGAAATGAAATACGCTTCATTATCCTTTGACAGCTTGCACCATTGCTGGTTTGCTTTTGGTAGCACTAGCGACAAGGATTAGATATTTTCAAACCTTTCGACCTAATACCATGCTTGAAAGAAATTGTAAGCACTTGTTTTTTCACCATCTAAGCACATGTGTGTAACACGATTGCCTGTATTCTTAAAATCTATCGTGAATCTATCAATATCTCTACTGGTTTCTACTGATTCTCTCCTGAAGCCATTTATTAATAGTTTCATCATAGTGGTATTTCAAAACAGGTCAGGAAAAAATAAAGTGCCAGTGTCACACCCGAAAAAGCACTTTTTATAATCGCGTGGAACTTTATTAATATCCGCGTAGCCTAATATAAATAAAATTTCTCAGCCTTAAATATTTTCTCTATGTTACGCACCGATATTCTCAACAAGCATGAAATGGAAATGCAAATTTCCCAAAAATCTTCTTAAATCTTGGTCGCAAAAGATTAGAATGTGTTCTTATGGTGCAACTTCACTATCTTCTTTGGTAGGCCGGTTTATTTTTTCGCTTGTCTAACGGATATGAAATTTTTCATCACCAAAGAAATGGATTTTTGAATGTATAATTTTCCTCAATGCTCCAAAAAAACCCCTAAAAGCTCCCAAAAAAAACTAATTTTGCCTTAAACTAAAATTATTCATTAAATAAACAAAAAAAAAAAATATACAAAAACTTTCATTTTCACAAGAAAAAAAATAGCTATAAAAATATTAAATTTTCATATTTCAATATTAAATTTGATCAAATCATATAAAAAATAAATAAATACAAATATATATATAAAAATAAATATAGTTTTTATATTTAATTAATATAATATTTTCCTTTTTTTTTTATTGATTTGTCCTAATAAGTGCCATGAAATTCAATTTTTTAAAATTAAACAAAATTAATATATATTCCACAGTTAGGCATAGAATGGCTCAATGGGTTGTTGCTCGCATTTAGAGGTACCCTAAAGGTACCACCTTCCCCTAAAAGCAGATCTATCTTATATATTTCTATAACTTATATGTAATTCGTTATGATATGTAATGTAATATGTAGTTGATAAGAGTGATAACCTAAGTGATAAGCGATTACCTCGCCAAATTTGTCTATTTTCGATAAGCTAATAGCCTTTATCAGAAATCAGAGATAGATTCTTATAAAAAAAGATTTCATAATTAAGTGTAAAAAAATAGATTATATAATAAATAGGTAAATATAATATTGACTTATTGGCGTATAAAATTCGTTTAAAATTAACGAAAATTTTAAAAAATTGAAAAATTTTTTATTTATTTCGAAATGGAAGTAGTAAATTTAAAAAGCCGACAAACTTTTAAATAAAAAATTTTTCAATTCTTCCCAAATTTTCAGGTAATTGAACTTTAGGCATTAGTAATTGCAGCAAGAAAAGAGTTCCAAATTCATTGATTCTTTTGCAGTATACAGGTCATCCAAAGAAGATATCAAATAGAGAACATTGAGTTTAAATAAGTTAGAGTTCGGCTAATTGAAATTATGCAAAAGTTTTATTGATTTTTGTTAATTACTGATAACAATAAAAATGATAATTATTTTATAATAATTGTTAGTGCTTACCTTGAATTCTAAATAAATATCACAAAGTTTTTTGAAGATATGTGAGCCTTGAATTGCAAACTGTAATGTTCCTGTCTCTTTTTGAAGTTCTTCAGCATAATTTAGCATCGGCTGAATTTTTCTTGTTGATTATAAAAATTTTAAAAACTCTTATTATTGGTTTAAATATCTCTCAAGTTTCGGGCTTTGATAAGCTCAGTTTGCTCCAAGTTTCTTATCGAGATCGGTTTCGCTTAGAATAACTTATTAGCTTATTAGTCTTCGACTTCTGCACTGCATCGCTTGCGAAATGAGCTTACTAAGGATAATTGTGGCCGAATCGAATACATCTATATATAGATAATCAACATGAAATTTCTAATTTTAACATGAAATTTCTAAGATTTGGAATAAAAATTCCGATAAATGCGCGATAAATTCCAGTAAGAATTTGTGCAAAATTTTAAACGAAAAAATTTAAATTTTAAATTTAAATTTAAATTTTTTACATGAACGAAAAAATAGCTGATAAATTTTTAATCTACTCAAAGCTCTAACGAATGCTAATTAATCTAACTAAGGTTCGATTAGGAAAATACCTGCAAGCAGTTTGAAATCGACTTTTCAGTTATGGAACTACATTTTAAATCACGATTATCGATATCATTATCAATCATATCACTTGCAACGTTTAGAAAAAGCGTAATAATTAATAAAATTATCATTATTCTAAAAAAAGAGAATCGAGCGAATAAATTATCGAAATATTTTTTTTTAAATATTCGTTATTTTTCGATATTTTTCGAAAAAAAAAACTTTCAATTAATTTTTTTCACTTATTTTTATAGATATTTTAGCTAGTGCAAACCAGTCTTTTTTTAATTTGTTTTTCATCGATTTAGAATTCTGAAAAAGAATTTTTAACGAAAATTTATATTTCAGTGATGCACTTGCGTGAAAAAATTATGATATATGATTGAAATTCAGGATAGAAATTAAAATCATTTTGTAAAAAACTCTTTTCACAATAAATAAATATCATTACTATCAATAGTCGTATTAATAGTGATATTAATAGTGATACTAGAATAATAGAGGTACTGATAATGACAATGATAATAATAATTTTATAAATATTTTTGAAATTTTTTCAAATAGAAAGTATAATAAAATATATAGAATGGATTAAAAATCTGGCAAGGATGGATATTCGAATTTCATAACAATCATCAAAAATTATGAAAATTTGGGAAAAAATAGAAAATATAAAAATATAAATCAACTTGAATTATGCTCTACTCATTATATATAAGTATGCAATCAAATTACTGGATGAGATTTATTCAATTCAACTTTTTAGAAATTGAATTATTTTCTATAACTAAATCTAAAGAGAGAATATTTTTTTGCTTTATTTTCAGCTAATTTTTCCTCTTCCATAGAGTTTATCACTTCTAGTTTAGCTTTGAAAGGAATTACTTGGCGATTGGTCACCAGCATCTTTCGAATTTTTGAAGGACAAGTTTAAAAGAAAATAGAATATCATCAGCAATCTTCAAAATACCATTAATAATTTAAGTGAAAGAAGAAACACGATGAAAAACTGCTAATGCATTTAAGATCTGTAAACTAAGATTGGCAAAAGCTTATAATTGATAAAAATTTGGTAAAATTAACCGAAGATGATAAAAGCGTTAAATTTTATCATAATAATTTCTCATACTTGCAGTAAGAAATGATTACTAGTTATTGATAAAAGACAAAAGAAAAAAAAGGATGAAAATGAATATTTGATAAAGAGATTCATATAAATTTTCGCTATTATGTAAGTAATTTTGGTTGTACTTCCATATTTTTCTTATTCAATATCTCGCAACGGACTCATCTATATTTAGAAAAATTATGCTTAAGAATATTCAATATTGTTTTTGTTTCCCAAAGTAAATTTTTTTCAATACATTGGAGTAAATGAATGATTAAAAGAAATTTGAATTTTAAAAAATGATAAAAAAATTCGTAAAATTTTTTTCAGTCGTCAAAACACCAATAATGTTCAACAGGTGCAAAGCTACCTTTCCGCTTGATGGTGACAACTCAGTCCGTACTTCTAGTGCCAAGTGATTCTTGGCGAACTTTGTCTCGTTCAAGCCAATAGAGTTAATTGAACCGGAAATGGTTAAGCCTCATGGAAAAAAAAAACAATAAAAAATAATTACCATTTTAAGAAATTTCATGAAAAAACGATTATTTCGTCTAATTCGAATATTTTGCTTTAATAAATTTTATATTAAATACAAGAATTTCATCAAAAGCAATTGATCAAGTAGAATTTAAAATATTAATAATTTATGGGAAGTAAACTAGATGAAAGTAAGAAAGGAGACTTCGAAATTTACATAATTCGATTTTACAAATTTATGAAATAAATGTTTCAAAAATAAAATATTTTAAAAATAAAAATAAAATAAAAATAGAATTTAATATTAAAAAAATAATTTTTAGCGCATGTATTTTCATTTATTTAAGTAATATTTAATAATAATAGATAATAATAAATAATAAATAACGTAATTATTCATTATTTGAAATCAATAGATTAAATTATATAAAATTTTATGAAAAATTCATTAAAATGTTTTTTTATAAATCATGAAAATCATTGAGAATAATTTTGAATAAACTATAATTGCTTGTTGAGGAAAATTAGAAATAGAATTTGATCATATCGATGATGGAAAATAGAAATATTAAATTAAATTAATATCCATATATGAATAAATATACCCAATCACATTTATATAATCCACATCAACTCTTTATCCATATATCCATCTATTCACCAACGAATATAACATATAGATGGATCCATCCATTCATCTATAAATTCATCAGTCCATCCATATATATATCATATGGGTGACTAGAATGGCTCAATGGTTTGCTGCTAAGTTCGGAAAGTCGATTCTGAGGTTCTATTCCTCGCAAGAGTAAACCATTTTAAAAATTCAAAAATCCATCCGTTTATCCATACTAACGATTCATCTGTACTTCTATCGCTAGGGGGATTTCCTAGCATATTTATCCAGTGTGATAAGCAATTGGAAGACTCTTTTTAAAAAATAATCATCTATCTATATATACATGTATATCTTTGCTTTCACTTATTTTAGCCAAAGTAAACATCGTTTCTGACAGAAAAAAAAATTATTTAGATCAGGCCAGAATATTGGATTCATTAAATACAAACATATGGTCAACACATGAAAACTGATAAATCAATTGTTTAAACTTCCATCAATCATAGCTAAATGAATAGATTTGATCGATCCGAGACTAAATCTTAATATTTTCCAAGTTTTAGCTTCATTTAGAACAGATTAATTCATATTATTTTGCGTTATTTTAATTAATAATTTTTGTTTTTAAATTATTTTAAATTATTTTGTGGGATTTTAAATATATATATATATAAATTTTTTTTCTAAGAGGGCTTATCATCATTTTCGTTTAGGCTGACAAGGCAAATTATGTAAGGAAATCATTTAGTGATAAAATTGCTGATAAGTCATCAGCATCATCAGGATTTTTGAAAGAAATTCCAGCCGAAAGAAAAATAGCAGCAACGGCGCTCCGAAATGATAGCATTAAACCATTTAACTCAATATTTTAACTTTGAAAAATAAAAAAAAATATGGAATTGCATCGGTAGATCAGTGGCAAGATAATTGCCATGGAAAATCGAGGCTTGGATTCTAATCCGCCAGTACACTATTCTTCTTCTGCCGCCACTATTGCCTAAGGGAGAAAGCAAAAAAAAGAATGGAATGGCTTAGCTTGTTGCTCAACTCGTAACATTGATATTGAATTTTTACTCCGGATAGGAAGGAGTGAAATCTTAAGAAACAGAAGTCTTTTCCGAAAATCCGAGTGATGCTAGCGACTCACCTATATTTCTGTCGTCCTGGCATCCCTAAGACTCCTTGGCACATTTAACTAACTATTTTATCTAACTATTTGAGCGAATCTGGCCAGTGCTCTTAAAAAGAAAAAATTATTATAAGAAAGATAAGCACAATATAATTATTGGAAGCAGATGGTGCTAACGCAATTAATAAATCCCAAAAGAAATCACTATGAACTAATAAAAACCTAAAAACCAAATTTCTCTATAATATTACAATTTTAATAATAATATAATAATAATAACAATAGTGATAATAATAATGATAGTGATAATAATAATAAGTGACAATAATATTAACAACAAAGATATAGTAATAAAGATAATATTATTTTTACTATACTATAATATTATTAGTGATAACAGCATTAACAAAATAATAATACTAATAATAATAATAATAGTAACAATAATTTCTTTGAAAAATAATAATAATATTAATAATATTATTATTATATAATATAATAATATTAATAATAACTGAGGCTATTAATAATAATAAAATATTTATAATAGTAATAATAACTAATAATATTAATAATAATAACACCGCTTCTTTTTATAAGCAAACTTAGCGAAAGATTTTTTTTCGAATAATTTTCGCATTTTTAATGTTTTAAATTGAAAAAAAAATTATCAAAAATAAGTCTTTAAATTTTTTAGTAAAGAAAATTATAATTTTTTTTTAATTTTATTTTTCCGATTTTTTTCCTTTTTTTTAAATGTTTATTTTCGGAAATTTCATATATTAAAATATTTCTTTCGTTCATTAATTTTGAAAATGCTTAATGAAGTAAAAGAAAAAAAAAAGTTAATGAAAAATCTAAAAAAGCAAATCATTTTAAATGAATGAATTGCGTTGAATGGAAGCGACTTACTGGAATTAATTTAAAAAAAAGAAAAATTTTATTTAAAAAAGAAAAAATGATATTATCAAAATCTAAAGAATTTAAAGTGTTTTATATTTATATAAAATATTTTCAATAAAAAAATCACTTATATCCAAAAAATTAAAAAAGAAATTAAAATCTCTCTTTTCTCACCATTTTCATTACTCTAGTTTTATTAATTTTTTTTTCGATAATCAAAAATTCAGAGAAAAATTATTTTACAAACAAATTTTATTAATTTTCGTAATTTTAATCGAAAAAATGAATATTATCTTTTTTTTTGAAAAAAATATTTATTTGAATATTTATTTGAATTATTTATTTATAATAATAAAAAATGCTTCCTTTTCTTGTTAAAAAAATGAATTATATTAGGTGAGATTAGATTAATGATAAGTGATAAAACTGTAATAAGTGGTAAGTAACAAAAAATTATAATTTTGTAATAATATATTTTAGTTAGTTTTTAAAATGAGATAATATCTTTTTGCGGTTCACAAACCGCATGAATAAGGACAAAAAATGTTTCACCTTTAATCACCTTTAATCAGGGGCCACTGAGTTTATCACTTGTTTTGATAAAACATAGAATATATAAATAATCAAGTAATTTGAGGCCTTTTTTTTTATCGTTTCCCCCTTGCGGAATATATGACAATTCAATTATTATTGGACTTATTCAAATTAGTTCATTTTCCATCTAATCTTTATGCTTTTATCGAAAATTCTCGCCAACTTAAAAATTATGTATAAAGCAAATCCTACGAAATTTAACCAATATCTGAATTTATGTTTTAATATTTCTTTTTTTCTATAAATGTTTTCCGAGCTTATCATATCATTTAATGATAGTGATAATGATGATAATCAGATGATGATGAATGATGAATGATAATATATGTAAAGATTTTAAAATTTATAGTAGGTAAAGGCAAAGAAACTTCGAATTCTCTTTTTATGAGATTATTATTAATACATATTGCAACATTAAATTATTTCCATAAAATATTTGATAATAACGATTTTGATTTCAATAAAAGAAACCTTTGATTTGATTATCTCGTTTTTCATTTTACAATTCCTTATAATAAAATTCGAGAAGAAAATTTGTATATTCTTCGATCATCAAGAATTTTATTTTCACTATATGCGACTATATTAATTTGGACTATACAATGCCTTATCTTTAAATACAAGTGGGAATGGATAAGTGATAAGTGATAAAGATAAGGCCGCCTGCAAGAATAATTATTCTCATAATTATTTAATTATCGTTAGAATCGTAAGTGGCTTAATTACTGGAACACAATTCACAAGTCTTTCTATTTCCAATTTTAAAAATTCATTTGAATTGTTCATAATATTATCTAAATGCATAACTATTGTATTTTGCTTATTTTTAAGATAAATAAATTCTCAACAAGAAAAATAAATGCAATGAGTTTGACATTTGTTTTCTTCGCAACTTTGCAAAAAACTTGAAAAACTTCGCAACTATTGATAATATGATATATGATAAAAAATTTGTATTCATCCAGTATATAAACTGATAAACAACAATAAATGAAAATTAAAAACTAGACACTTTACATTATCATTAAAATATTATCATTAAAAATTGCTTTGCAATATTTCTCGCAAATTTGCAAAAGGAAAGGAAATTCTCAATAAAAAATTAAAAATAATACAGATTGCATTCAAGATAATTTACATAAAATTTAGAGTTATAGATAAAATAGTGCTATCGCAATTTGTCATAGCAATTTATTTTCCTAAAAAAACGCACCAATGCTGACTGATTAGGTAAGCTGAGTACGATGGGGAGTTGATATTTCTAAGACACTTAACAACTTCAACCTCTGGCATAACAAAAATTAGCCATAATCATATCATACTGAGTAAAATAATTGAAAATTTCTTATCAATCCCATCGATGCCTATTTATCAACTCTTTCATCGAATCTTCTACAGTTCGATGAGAATGGAGTAAATTACCAATATTTGCATGAACACGAGAATTATTTTTCCATTCGGAAATTCTTTTAGGCTTTCCCGGCATTCGACGTTGCTCGCTCTCTAATATTTCTTTTTCTCGCTGCTCTTCTGGCGTTCCATATTCAGCAATATATGCTGCTTCTTGTTCCTAAAAATGAAAAAAAAATTCGCCTTTAATGAATTTAATTAAATATAGTGAAGCCTTAAATCTTATAAGATATTAACAATGACCACTAATGTTCATTTTAGCCTTTCCTATTAGAGAACTGCAAAATTTCAAAATTATTTAAAGACATTAAGATATTTAGTTAGCAATTTGAAATAGATTTTAATATATATGGAAATTTCAACCATTAAATTGCTCACCTTAGTGAAGTAAGGAGTTGCCAAATATTTCATGACTTGATATTCCATATTAAGCCTTTGTCGTAATACAGCTACATCATTCTCACTCACTCGAAAATCAGGTCTCCCAGTCCTATCAAATATTAAATATTTATTTCAACATTTTTTCCTTCAAAACCACAGGAGTATCGTTCATAATTTTCTAGGAATAGCCCACTAAGCTGATATATTTCACCATCGTTCCTTACTCTTTGACTGAAATAAACTGCCAATCCCAATACTTAGAATTTACCTAAATCTTTCTGTCCAAATGATTATCCTACGAATATGCACATTCTCGTTGCGTTGAAGATTAAACAAGAATCAAACCTCTTAAATTTTAAATGCAAATAAAAGATTATAGAAAGATTTGAAATGAAGGGTTTTTGGCAATGAAATCTTTACTTTCTCGATTAATTATTCGCCTACTTAATTAAATTTATAAATGAAATGAAAAAACGAAATTCTTATCGCAAAATATTAAATTTTTTTTACGTAAAATTTTAATTTTTCTGAAAAATTCCAAACATAAAATCAAATTCCAAGGAGAACGACCTTTTCATCATGAAAAATTTACCAGCTAAAATAAATTTACCTATGCAAAATGAGTAAAAGAATATTATAAATTATAACAAACCCTTTAAGCATAGGCAATAAAGGTCCACGATAGCCGATCTCCCAAACACGTCGATCCCAATGTTTCTTATTCAAATTCCTCAGCAAAATCCTAGTGACTCGCATCTAAAAAAAAAAAGATCAAACTTGATTCGTGTTCTAGCATGAAAATATTTAATCATGAGCAATATTTCATGCAATTTTTTTCATGTTCATATCCTTCTGTTGACTAGAATTTTATTAAATCACGAAGCCATCTGAATCAACGAACGAATCCATTTCCCAAATAGTGTTGCCAAAAAAAAAAAATTCATATAGAAAAAAAATCCATAACTAGGCTATTGTTTATGCACTTTATGGTCTAATGGCTCAATGGGTTGTTGCCCAAATGACAGCACCGATGCTGAAGTTCGATTCCACACAGGAATAAACCTGTAAAAAAATCCGGGTGATGCTGGCGACTCACCTGTATTCCTATCGCCAAAGGACTCCCAGGCATATTGCCCAATGCGATAAGCCAGTGGAGCGAGTTTAATCAGTAATGGTGAGGATTCTTTAAAAGAAAAAAATGCGCTTTATGCTCCCATGTATGATAGAAAAAATGGTAGATTAGACCTCAGTAAGAAATAGCAAAATCACTTATCACCGATTTTAAGTTATGATAAAAATCGTAAAATATTTACTCGAATAAATTTGATTTTATATAAAACGCTAAGAAAATTTCTTCTAAATCGCAATAAATTTCTCTCGTTCTACACTAATAAAAAAAAAAAATAACAATCAAAAATTCTGAAAAATTCCCAAAAGGATTTTAAAAAGACTTACAAATGAGAAAAAAAAGCCCGAAAACTGTTAATCTTATCGATGTAAATTAGCACACTAATTAAACACTTAATCACGCAAATCCACCGAAAAAAAAACCCCAAATTTTTTCTCTTGAAATATTAATTATCACGCATGATAAGCGAACAAATGAAATACGAAATTCAAATATTGTTTTCTTTTTTGCTGCTTTCTAATTTGAAAAGACAAATTAGAAAATAAATAAATTATTAACAATAATAATCAAATGATAATCACCGTCAAAAAAAAAAAAAAATTTTTTTTTCTTATATAAAAGACTTTAATAAAAGCTAAAATTATTTAACATAATACTGCACACAATTAATTAATTAAAATTAATTAATTAAAATACAAAAGAAAAAAAATTCAAATAATTCTAACGAAATAAATAAAACCAAAACCTTCTTTAAAAAAATAAAATCTTATAGCCAAAACTTCGAAATACAACTAAGAAATAAAGTAAAAAAAATAAAAGTAAAAATATCGTAAATGGAAAATTACAGGAAATATTAAGTGAATATCAATTGCACAGAGTGAAAATTAAACAAAAAACTATAAAATGATATGAATAGGCTAAATAAAATAAAAAATGGTATCGTTCTCAAAAAAAATATTACTAAAGTAACCATATAATTGCAATGACCATATAATTAATCAATTAAGAGATTAAATCACTCGAAAATTCAAATTTTTAAATGTTTAATCAAATGTTATCTGATTTAATATGGAAGTACAAAATGAATCTCCATGGAACGGGGATGATAATTAAATCTCAAGGAAGCATATAAATTTAACAGTAAAATTAAATTATCTCAGTTAGGCGAATTTGTATGTATTATTATATTATTATCACCGGCTATTATCAAGAACTATAACAAAAAATCACAAAAATTATTACAAAAAATGTATTTAAATGGAAAATAAGAAAAAAATCTTATAAACGCTTGATAACACCCATACCATTCGCATATTATCTGATATCGATGAGTGCAAGTTTATAGGACAAAGTTAAAGTTATTAAATCCAAATTATATAAGAAGTTATGAAAATGAAAGCAAAAAGATAAAAGAAATGTTTCGAAATTTTTAAACATTAAATAAATATCATTTCTATCCGGAATACACAGTACGAATCTCTAACTGCAAATTGGACCAGAGATGTTTACTCGAGTTGGCTTCCGTAACTCATTTAGCAGTAATTTCAGACCTTGAGCCCAGCCTGATTTCGTTTCAATAGGATAGGACTGCTGCATCAATTCGAAAAAATTTGTTGCTTCAATATATAATCCACGATCCATAGCTAAAATGCAAAAATTCTTTCATTAATTCATTTTCCTTTGCAATTATTTCGCACTCAGTCACTGTGTTAGCAACTTTACAGCCATTCAGATTAAATGACATGTAAAGAACAAAAAAATATCATATTGAAATTTGTCAAACGATACCATCAACAACAAAATTCAATTTTTTTAGGCAACCCTCAGAGATTCCATCATTGTGAACCATTTCTTGAAACTGATCTATTCTAAGTCTTATTCCATCTTGCGTCACACCCTGAAAAGCATTTGATTTAACAATGTAGAACTTTCCACTAAAAAAAAGTTCAAAAATTTGATGGAAAATATAGTTTCATTGGTGAAATTAGACAACTTACTGGTTGCAATTTCAGAGTGGCTTTAATCATGAATTGCGCGAGTTGTGCACCTGTTAATGAGACATCACCAGCTGCTTTTATTGGCGTAATATACGAAGGATGAACAGGCGATGTGGCAGGCCTTTTATCATTTTCAGTTATTACCTATATATTAAACATAAAATAATAGAAGAATCCTTGAAAAATAAAGATTTCATAAATAGTTTCATAATGTTGGTTATATTTATATAACTTAATAATTCAATTTAAATTCAAACAGAAAATTTTTAAAAAAATTTCGAAAAAAATTATCTTTTGAAAAACAGCGCAATCTTTTGAAAAATTTTTCATTTTTTTTCTATTAAAAATTCAGAAAAGGAAATGAATATAATAAAATGAAAAGAGATTTTTTATTATACCATAACTAAACATACATTTGGTGGAGTATAAATCATTGCTGCCGGATTGGTTTCTATTGGAAATGTTAAAGCTCTGTGTGGTTGCGCACTCAACGAATGCTTTAATAAAATTTTCTTAAACAAAGTAGACGATTTAAAAATCAACAAAGAAAGAAAGAAAAGTAATTTCAACTGCCTACAGTAGAACTGAGACATGAATATAAACTTTATAAAAATAATTTTATTAAATAAAAACGAAAAAAAATCGTGCGAATCAAAGCTTATAATTTTCTATCAAATCAATTTGCGAATTACTTAGTATCATTTAAACTAATATTAAATGCATAAACAAATAAATAAATAAAATTTGTCATAAACTTGAGGATTACAAAACGTTCAAAAACCAAATAAGAAAAAGAGAAACTAAATAAAAAATACCGTGAAGGATGAAGACGTGAAATTTTGTTGTTGTGGTATTGTATTTGAATAAAAAAAATTCGAATCGCTAGTTGATAAACGAATTTGTGCGAAACCATAAGAATCATTATAGGAGGCTAAAACATAATACGATAGATAACATTAAAAAAATCTAAAAGCAGCAAAGAAATTATTTGGTATCTATTTGACATATTTGGTATCTTTATATTGAAAAAATAAATTGAATACCACTTGGAATAGTAAAAGCATCATAAACCGAATTACGATAGTCAGAAAACTGTTGTGAATGAGAAGTTTGAAGAGAATTATGTGAACTGGAAGTTGTAGACATTCGTGTCGCTAAATCAGCTTCTTTAGGTCGTGATGATGGCTGAATACTTATTAAAAATAATTTCTAGTTATTCAAAATTTTTTAATATTTTTAAAATTTTCTATAAACATCTATAAATTTTCCATAAACATCTATACATCTATTTAAAGAATGATTAGTGGAAATTGTCGAATACTGAAACCACTCTAATTCTTTCTTTCTAATATCAAACTTGTAGATGGTATGGGTTGTCCCTTAACCTCTCCTCTTTTATCTGCTCCTTTGTCGAGGATTTTGAGGGTTCTGTTCAGTGCGTTAACTATTTCTATCAATGCGTTCTTCTTGATAAAGATCTCTTCTTCCCGAAATTTATCCATTTTTCCGGTTAAGGAGTCATAGCTCTGATACTCCAACCGCTCCTTTCGGCCTTCGCTTTCCATATCTTTTACAATTCCTTTTTCAGCCAATATTTACTAATATTTTCTTCAGTTTTCGACGAAAGATCGAATTTATATGAGCAATTAGACAATCAATAACAATTTGAATACTGAACAGTTTGAATTCCATAAAACAAAAAAAACAATACTTGGATGGATGGATGGACAGGCCTCCGATATTTATGAGTTAAAAGACGATTGTTAGATGTGGTACCATTACTATTAACATTTACGGGCGGATCGTTCCATCCTGGTGTCACATATGATGGCAATGGTGACGAATAAGATGGCATCGAATTTTTAGATGTTAGCTACTCGCCACACAGTTTGACTGAAAAAAAAAAAAAGAAATTCAATCAAGTTTATTTAATTAAAATAGCAAAAAGATTAAAAAAATCGTAGATTCAAATCATTTTACATTCAAACAAAATTAATTGTAAAAAATAACTATATATTTTGACAATTACTTTATTCATATTGTAATATTTTTTCTAAAATCATTTCGGATTAACGATATTCTACTGGCTTATCGGACCAGTCAAATTTTACCAAGGAGTCGAAAAAATACACAATACAGATAAAGTCGCCAGAATTATAAGGATCTTCGAAGAACTGAACTGCCTTAGGTAGAACCCCAGCATTGGTACTTCAAAATAAAACCAATAATCTATCGAGCTATTCGCTTAAATTGAAATGAATTTAAAGAATAATTTCATTAAATTAATGTTTACCAGTAATTTTATTTTAAATTTACTTCAAATAAATAATTGATCTAAGAAATGATTAATAAATTAGTGATGATAATAAATAATAACGAAATAATTATGAAAAACAACAATAAAAACATTAAAACAATAATAATAAAAAATAGTGATAAAAATAAAACATTAAAAATTCGACAAAATAGCGAAAAATAGCGCCGAAAAAATAGCGCAAAATTTCTCCATTTTTAAAAGACATTCCTCTCGAACTCATCATTCCTTATTACCATCATGTTCACCTTACTGCAGCAGAATCAGCCAAATCATTATCATTATCAGTACCAGCACGTTATCTTTCTACTGGCGCTATCAACCCTATGTTATTGCATCATTAATCTAGCAATCAATACTCTTATCACTGCGCATTAAAAACAAATCTCTTTATCACTAACAACCCATTCCCCCTCTCCTAACACACGTTTAACTCCCAGTCCAACTTTTTTGTACAGTTGTCACCCAGGGGGTCTTCAAACGAATATCATTTGGCGCGAATATGAATCGCTTTTTTCTCTAGATTACTGTAAAATGAAAAATGAGCAAAGTAAGTATCATTATGCACATTAAGATTTTATGAATAAAAAAATAAACAAATTATGAGAATATCGCTAGAATTTTTTTCTTTAATAGCCCTCAACACCGTTGAGTTCGATTCACATCGCTGGCTTATCGTACTGGACAAATATGGCAGAGATCCTGTGGGCGATAAAAATACAAATGAATCACCAGCGTCACCCGGTTTTTTGGACAGATTTACTCCTACAAGCAATAGAATTACAGCGTTGGCACTCCAAATTATATAACAACTCACTGTGCAATCTATTCTATACACCAATTGCTAAATATATCCCAGAAAATAGATATTTTATTCATGATAATAGATAAAATTAAATTCATTTAGTTTTATTTATAATTTTTATAATTTCTTAAAATTGTTTATTTTATGGAGCTGCCGGAATAAGTCTGCTTTCAAAAAATCCGAACGACGCTAACGACGTATAGTTCCATAGTAAAGCGATGCCATGGCAAAATTTCTCTAGTTCAGCAAGCCAATGGAACGAATCTAAGCAGAAATAGAGAGAGCTTTTAGAAAAAAAAAAAAAAAAGCATTTGCAGAGCTATTTTATTAAAATGGCTAAAATGGTGGAGAAAAAATTATAATAAAAAAGAAAAAATAAAACATAAAAAAATAAAAAATTTTTAATAAATAAATAAATAATAAATTTAATAAATAAATAAATAAAATAATACTTAAAAATAACACTTAAGAATTTTCAAAAAGCTATAAAATTGATAGGAATAGATGACTAAATTATGAACTAAAATTATCATTTATCTTCTTCTAACAACACTTATGAATTCTGATTTTTGACGACTAAACTGAATATTTTTTCACTAGATGAACTATACTAGGATGGTACCATTTAGTCTCTACTACTAACTGAATTTTATTAGTACTCCTTGAATTGGCCTATTATTTCAGGAGGATAGTATTTGAAAAATATAATTGTATGAAAATTTTTTAGGAAACCATTAGGTTGTAAAAATCAGTTGATGTCTCTTCTATATTTCAATTAGAATAATCAGCTGCAATATTATTTTTTTATTTAATATATTTTTATTTTTTTATTATTTTTATTATTTTGCTCCATTTAATTTTATTTTTGCCATTCTTTATTTATAATAACATTATTTTTATTTAATTTTTCATCTGAATTTTTCTCTATTATTTTGTTTATTTTTTTTCGTTTAAATTTTGTATTAAAAGTTGGTTATTTAATGCGACAATTAAAACATTATTTATAATTTATATTTTTATAGAAATTTATAGAATTATAGAAATAAAAATTTCTAATTGATAATAAATAAATTGACAAATATTAGACACTTATTTAAAATAATAATATTAATATCAACAATAATGAAAATAATAATAATATCAACAATATCAACTATTAATTTCAATATTATTAAAATAAAATAATATTAATATTAATTAATATTATTAATATTATTAAAATATAATATAAAAAGTGTTGTTACCAAATAGAGTTGTTATTTTGTAAAATTGAATGCAAAAAGAATAGACTTAATGAGTTCGTTATTCGTATTTCCTATCACCTATAGCGGAAAGAATTTGCCGTAGGCGTTAAAAGAAATTAAAATTGAAAACAAAAATAGACAAAAATAGATTTTTGAAAAAAATATTTTCGAAGACTTTATTGAAATTTATATATTATTTTAAAAATAATACTGTTTTTGAAAATGATTTAAAATAAATTTTAAAAAGAATTTATAAAAAGAAAAATTTCAAGAAAATTTAATTAAAAGAATGAAAAATAAAATAAATAAAAATTTTTATCGAATAAATAAATCTATGGCATTTCGATTGCCAAGGCAACAGTTTTAATCTCATAATAATCTTATTTCATTAATAATTTTGCTTTTTTTTTTTTGTTTCACAATTTCATTTCATATGAAGTTTTTTTCTTTTATTTTTATTCCTTTTGGATTTTATTAAAATCTTACATTAATTCCTTTTCAATAAATAATTAAAAAATAATTAAAATAATTGATTTAAGGAATATAAACTATGTGAAATATTTTGTTTTATTAATTCTGAACTAAAAAATTCAATGAAAAAAAATTTTTTCCACATTTAATTAAATTTTTTTCAATCAACAAATTCTCAGATTTCAAATTCTCAGAACATAGTGATTAAATCAAATAATATCAATGAGCTGATTTCAGTATAATTCAGTAGCCTGAGAGAATGATAAAAAATTGATAATATTGAAGCTGGGCCGATTCCAAACTGGAGGTTGGTCATAGTGGTGATTTTAGTCTGAAATTAACCGCTTATAAGGTTAAAAAAAGGCCTGCAAGTTAATTCTGAGTTAAATTAATTATGTATAGGCCGGTAAATAGGGAGATGAAATGGTACAGTTGCTCAACTGGGAGCTCCAATGCTGAGGTTCAATTCCCCGCAGGAGTAATCCTGTCAATAAATTATGGTGATACTGGCGACTCATCTGTATATCTATCGCCAAGATATTCCTTAGCATACTGCCTAATGCAAATGCAACAAGCCAGTGGAGCGAGTTTAACCAATAATGGTGAGGACTCTTAAAAAAAAGAAAGACCGGTGCATAAGCTTAAAGACTCCAGGTTATTAATATTTCGTCTAGATATCTCCAGTGTTCACAGAGAATCGATATTGGCCATTTTGGGAAAGAAAGGTGCCAAATTCGTCAGACTGTGAAGCTGCGACAAATGCAAAATGGTACTTTTAGGTCGGCTCGCAGGTTTATCCTTTTCCTTCTTATTTTTCATACTCCACTGGCTCTTGTCCAGTTAGCTTCTTGGTTTGTTTATGCGTGCTATCTTATAAATTTGAATTCTTTTCGCTATTTGGGATGCCATTAAGCTTCCATGAAGCTTTCATTCTGAAGTGGTGAAAATTGCCTCATCAATAATCAACTCTATTAATTGATCCTTAATTGATAATCCTTAATTTTTTATAGGCTTAGAAATTTTCAAGAATATTTATTCTATGAAGCAATCGTCACCTGACGCACAACGTCGAGCGGTAATGTAACCCAATAGAAAAAAAAAAAACAAAAGAGAGTAGAATGGCTTCGTGGATTTGGGCACGATTTGATAGCGCCAATGCCAGATTCCCGGGCACGAGTAAATCACTACAAAAATCCAAATGTTGGCGATTTACGTATAATTTTTCCGCTAAGAGACCATCTGACATATTTTTCTAGCTCAACAAGTCAAAAGAACGAGTCTAATCAGTAAGAAATCGTTCGATCGTTTAGAATCTAAAAGTTGAATAACCTATGAGTTCAATCGAGATTTTTAATTATCTTTCAGTGAAGCCTTAAAATAGCTTAAAATATGCGTCTTGTAAATATACACTAATAAGTATGGAGAAAATTATTATTCTTAATATAAATTAGATAAACGATATTAGTCGCTTCTAAGTACAAAAATACCTATCATTTTATAGGAATAAATTTATCACTAAATGCGAAATTCGAAAGAGAGCCCACTTGAATAGGTGCGATTCGTTGATAGCGAATCTTATCTTAATGGTCGATGAAGTCAACTGAAGTAGAAATTATTCGAGCTATTTAAAGGGCGAAAGAGAAAGGATAAATTTAATGGAAAAATAAAAATAAATAAAATTAGATAAATTATTATTATTGTTCTTGTTGCTTTTTGAAAAATAATTTCAGTGATTTTTTTAAAATTATTAAATAATTTTGAAAATTAAGACTTTAAAAAAATTTGATAATTTTTGTTAAACTTTAATATATTTTGTTTCAATTCCATCTAATTCCATTATTTATTATTAATAAATATATTAATAAAATTATTAACAAAATACAAATTTTCTTCAATTTTCTTTTTTTGTTTATAAAAATGGAAAAATAAAAATGAAATATTTTACCGCATTATTGTTAATATATTATTTTTCATTAAAGAAATTTGTTTTCATTATTTTCCAGAAACAATTATGCGCATTGCTCAACGGAAAAAAGTTTATGTGGTACTTTTCGGAAAGAATTTAGCATATTACTTTCTGGAAAATTGTATCAATTGCCAGAAAGAAGTTTGCCGGATTTTCAAAATCATTCATTTTTTATCTTTTTTAATTTTCATTCTCTATCAATATTTTCGTCATATTTTTTATTAAAATGAAACTCGGAATTTCAACTTATTTATTTATTAAATAATTTATTATTAAATATCAAATTAAATTGTATAAAATATACAAATTATTTTTACGAATGACAAAATTATTTTAAAAAATGACAAAATTCAAAATTATTTTAAAAAATTATCTCTTAAAAGAAGAAATAAGTTCGCTTAAAGGAAACAAATTTATATTTATTAAATGTATTAATAAAATTATTAACAATCAATCATTCATTAAATATATTAATAAAATTATTAACAAACAATAAAATCATTTTATTACAATTATTACTGTAATAAAAATATATGTACATTTGCGGTTCTTATGAACTTTTTCTTTTTGTAAGAAAAAAAAAATTTTAAGAGTTTCTGCCAATATATTATTTCACATATTAAGCAAAGCATATAAGAACTTATTGAAATATAAATGATTTAAAGCTGTTCAATCAAATCTAATCACAATAACTCATTAACAAAATATGATATGATAAAAATCATGAGTTATCACATGCCGCTCTATGGGTTGCAATGAGTTCGGAATGAGTTTGAAAAAAGATGTGATGGAGATACCAGTAAAGAAAAAGAAAAAAATAATGAATACACTGAACAATTATAAAAAAATTTAAATTTTTACATTATTTTATTTGTAATTTTACAAAAAGGCAAATAATTAAAGAAAATTTTGGAAAATTTTTATATTTCATACGAAAGCATTTTAATAATATTTTTTATTAATTATTGCATCTTTAATAGTGAAAAATATAAATTTCTTTCTTCTATTATTTTAAGATTCGACAAAGATTTATCTATTATTAATATTGCGATTACGAAATAATTTAATTAAAGTTGATTGATAAACTAATAATCAGTGTAGACTGATAATCAATGAGACGTTTTGAAAACAAAACCCGTAAAGAAGGAAATTATATTTAAAAAATAATTTAATTTTCACATAAACACACATACGAACATCTTTTTTTATGGAAAATGAGATCAATTGAAACGGCGCTTTTCTTTCTTTAGTAGAGCATGAACATAGTTTGGTTATGACTTAGTTGTTCCTGTTCGTTTTGGTGCCCATGGTGCAAGCGCTGCGAAGGCCACTAAAAAAGAAAAATTATATCGCTGAAATCATATAACCAGCGGTGCATCGATAGCCGAAGCCTTGGTTTAAATTAGCCAACGTAAAATTCTTCGAGCTTCCTCTTATCGTCTGAGAACAACATAGGAGTGGCTAATTGGGTTGTTGCTCAATTCGGAACGTCGATGCTGAGGTTCTACTTTCGGCATGAGTGGATCTGTCCAAAATATCCGGATAATACTGGCGACTCACCTGTACTTCTACCCCAAAGGTACTGCCTAGCATGTTTTTCTAGTGTCAGCGGAGAGAGTCTAACCAATAAGATTCCAAGTGATCATTACATATTTTTTTAACATAAATTATTGTAAATTATAAAATATTTGTAAATATTTTTAAAAGAAAAACCTACAACTTATATCTGATGCTTGTTTATGCGTATATCCTTTCAATTTTGCTCTCAATATTCCGATAAGTTGTCGTCGAAAATGAATACTGCTAAAGCAGAACAATATGAAATTTAATGCTTTACCAACGATAACGAGAAATGAAGTAATTGTATGCAGATGGTACCAGTTTAGACCCATTTCAGGATGACCATGTGGCGTTCGTTTCGAAGAAAATGAGTTAATAGATAAAACAATCGCAGACGGACCCTGAAGAATAAAAATTTGCTCATAAAAAGGCTTAAAGATGCGAATATTTTCTATTACTGTCGACAATGGCATAAGATCATGCAACTTATACAATGTCTCATTCTCGTAACCAGTGTAGCCAACCTAACCAGTAATGGTGAGAGCTGTTAGAAGAAGTGGAGAATTATTATTTATTATTATTAATACTATTAATATATTTTTAATATTATTTTAATAATATTAATAATATATTAATATTATTATTGTTATATAATTGGATTTTTTCGGTTTCATACAATATCGCGGATCACAAATTGCATTAATTTTAAAATTTTTAAAATGATTTTCGACATGATTTACGAAAAAAATTGTAAAAATCACTTGTGTAATTGTAAAACACGTTACAATAGCGCATACAGTTATCGCAAGCCTATGTTCGATTCGTTGATGCGTAGTCTGAAAAAAAAAAAATTTTTTTTCCACATTTTTATAAATTTTCTTTTTAAAATCTTGGAAAACTTTTTAATGAAGTTTTTAAATAAATTTGTTTAATTAGCAAAAAATTTTTTTATATAAATAATTTTTTTCAAAATTTAATTTTAATTTTGCAAATTTAATAAATAATTTTTTTGTAATTACTTTTATATAATTGAAAAAATTGAAATTAATATTAAAATTATTAATATTAAAAAAAATTAATAATTGAAAAGATTTTTTTTAAAATTAATTAAAATCGATGAAAATTAAAATAATCTACTTTTTCAGCCGACAATTTTCGTTTAAAACTAGTTAGCGCAATGCAAAAGGCTTCGAGGAAAGTTGTTAGCTTCATTTCGGAGATATTGGAATTCTAGTCTCGACAAGAGTAAAAAATCCAACTGGTGAGCTAATTTTAGTTCTAACGCTAAGTATTTCCTGATTTCCTGAATTTTTCTCCAACAGAATAGATACATTAATAAATACTAACGATATTAAAAACCTCAAAAAATGCTTAAAAAATTTTAAGAAAAAGAAGCTAACTAACTTGTTGATCTATATTTTTTCGAATTAAGCTTGCTGTATGTGCATTTCGTTGACTATCATTACGATTTTCATTATCAACGAGATTTTGATAAAACAAAAAGCTTCGTCGTCTTACCAATATAATCAAAGAAAGATTTAATGCTACAAAAATAAAAGAAAAATTTGTTTAGAAATTGAAGAAAAACAATTTGATTGAGTGAAACAAAAGAAGCAAAACAAAATGATTGATAAGCCCAAATTCTTGTGGTCATATGATAAGGCTCAACTAATCATTATAAATGAAACTTAATGGCTCATTCATATTTCTATCAGTAATTGTTTCCTATAGTAAAATGATCTCATTCTAATCAATCAATCAATCAATCAAAGCTGGAAATGTACGGTCATTAGAAGAAAAATGATAAAAGATAGGCATACCAGTTAACAGAATAATCGGGATGATAACAACAAAAACAGCGTTAGCGAATATACTCCACTTAACATAATTACGGTGTATTATTGGTGCCAAATTTGTATGATTACCTGGCCATCTAAATACAATAAAAAATTATTGTAGTTAGAATAAGAAAGATAAAAATAATTTATCTTTTTTCTTTATCAATAATGAACAACCTTTTTCCTTATCAATATCACAAATAATTCTTTTCTTATCACAAACTTAACAATATAAAAGGCAAACTTATCGAGAGTAACGTCGAAACATTTTGCCATAACTTGAGTTCGATTACAAAACTCTCGAATAATGCAAACGTGTGAGAAATGATTATAAAAAGTGAGAATTCCAGCTATTAATAGAATAAGAAAAATTATAAGAGCAATAATTGTCCTTGACCAATGACTGCGCGTACGAAATGGATATTTTATGCCCATTACTCTCTCAACACAAACAGCTAGTACCAACCTGCAATTATAGAGCTGTTCATCAAAAATTTGCACATTATGGGTATGAGGGATAAGGCAATCGAGTGCTATGTTATACTAAGTGATACCAAATATTAGAGAATCCCTTCTATAGTCTCTTGAAAAGAATAAACTTACTAGTTTAAACTAAATTCGAGTGCCGCCTATTAACTCATTTATAATTATTCAGTGCCCAAATGAATCTATAGCAAATTGGCCTCATTCTAAACATGTAAAGCCTACTCGTTAGCAATAATGAGCGCTTTTACAAGAAAAAGATGTCGAACCACTGCTGGGCCAATTAGCACTATCTCTTGGCGACTATCTTGGGCTTATTCATGATTCCCATCATAGTGCTCAATAGAATTAGCGAAACTAGAAATGGTTCGTATTCTTAGAAGAAAAATTTGATAATTTTGATTAAGCTAATTAACAATTTTAAAAAGTATAATATTATGAAAGAAATTTTTGTTTTTAAATATTCATGATAAAATTTATCATATCAATTTTGTTATAAAAAAAAACGATTATATTTAATGAAATACAAACTAAACCAAATTGCAACTGCAGATGTCCAATTCGCGAGCGTAATTAGATGAATTCTTGCACTCAAATAATATAATCGAAAATAGTAATTGAATGCAAATATATCAAAATTTGCTAGTGAATGTGGTATCATAAGTATCAAAAAAACAATATCGCAAAGCGCAAGACATGCCAGTAGAGTATTTGCCCTTAAAATAAGAAATTTATTTTTGCAATTTACACCTTAAATCTTAATTAGGCCTCAAATTTTGGCCTCAATTCAGCCTCAAAAAATTAATAGAAGCCTTAATTTTGGCCACAGTTTAGCCTCAAAGAATCAGTAGAGACCTTAATAAATATTTTTGATTTAATGGTTTTTTTTTTAATATTTTATTCCTTTTAAAAATTGAAATTGAAATTGAGAAATTGAAAAATTCTTGAAATAAAGGGAAATAAAGGGAAATATAGATATTGCTATAGAATAGCGTCAGTAAAAATAAAATATGTGACAGAATAGTGTTCAGTGAATTGTTGACTCACTCATTTCAGAGCGTTAATTTTAGGTCTCAAGTCTTAGAACGAGTAATTTATGTGGTGCTGGCGATTTATTTATGCCTATTTATATTGCTATGTTACTTCATAGCAAAGTTTACGCAATTGAGTAAAGCAGTTATTATCGTTGAATCGATAACGTCCTTTTTTAAATCGCCTTAAATGATAACGAATCGGATCCAGTCTCTGATTAGGAATGTTAGAAATTGCGGTCTCATTCTCTGAATGACTTCTTAACAAAAATTTCTTAAAGTACCTCAAACAACTAGCTAAACGATTTCAATTTTTTCTCGATGTCTACAAGTCTACAGAAGTAAGACATCTTCAAAACTATTCGATCCGATGCCATCGTTGACAGTTTCAATAGAATTTTTTTTTTGCCCATCATCTAAATTCTTATATCGCTAGTCTACTTATACGTTCAAAACCTTTCCTGGTTGTATTAGTCCAAGTCTTAATTAAGCCACTTCGCTTCTGAAGGTCATCCATCAGAGGATTTAGCGAGTAACGAAAGAACATAGAACATACTCTAACAGCAAAGATGACCCCCTGTGATGGCATTGTTTATGATAATTGATAATTGAGTAAGAATTGAGCTATGATGGATGCAATCATTTGAGATTTTATCCGTTCGGCAAACTCATAAAATATACCTTAGAAACTTATTATTATCATTAATGATGTATATTATTTGTATTACTTATCATTAGTAGACGCTTATGCGATTGTTTTTCATCATTTGAAAAATTTTTCTATTCCATGAAAATTATGATGATTTTCTTTCTGATAAAAGATAATTTTGATTAAAAATAAAAATATGAACTTGTAATTATCAAATAATACAATTTTGATTTATTTCTAAATAACTAAACATAATAATTAATTAATATATACAATGAAAATTTTTTTCAGAGAGTTATAGCATATTTGATTTAATTTGAAAAAAGAATGCCTAAACTAACTACTTGTATAAATTAAAAACGAAATTAAATAATGAGCATTTATCGAATAACATTAAAATAAATCGCATCTGCTCAATAAAAAAAATAAAAATTTATTTTAATCAAATTTTGACTTAAAAAAAAAAAAAACAGAACAAAAGATGAGCAAACCTTGATTTCATTTGTGAACTTAAAAGTACCATCAAATTTAATATATTTCCAACAATACCAAAAATACAAATTGGTGGAAAAAATAAAGTAAATATAATCATTTCTAGCACAGAACCCGATAAAATTTGATGCCTTTCTGACCAACATTTTTGTGAATAATTCATTTCGATTCTAAAAATTTTTTGAAATTTTAAAAATTTTTAAAAAAAATTTTTTTTATTTCAATAACAAAGAAAAAAATGAACGATATTTTCATTGTTGAAGATTCCCTCGTTCGATATAAATTGAAAAATCTCATTTCTTTAGAAAAAGTAAAATAAATTTACGTAAATTAAAGTTAATTAAAACTTTGGAAAGCGAAAAACGAAAAAGAAGAAGGACTTATTAATGAGATTTTTAAAAAATTGATTAAAATATTCTTATGGAATTCGAAATTTTTTGAATATTAGAAAAATACAAAAAAAATTTTTTAAAAAATGTTAGAAAACATATATAGTTTGAAGAAAATGACAAAAAATTTTGTAGAATCTTAAAATATATTTGTATTTTTTAAAAATATGAAAAATATATTTAAATGAATTTCACCGAAAAAAATATAAATAAAAAAATATTGAACAAATTTAGTACGAATTTATTTCTTTGATTTTACAAAAAATATTTGCAATTTCATGAAAATTAAAAAATTCGAAAAAATAATAAAAAATAAGAAAAATGCGGAAATAATTCACTACGAAGGCTATTATAAACATATTAACAAAATAAAATAAAACCGAAAATTAAATTTTTTCACAATATCAGAGTCTAAAGAGGATTGACATATATGGATATTTTATTTAAAGAACACTCGCAATTTTCGCTTAAACTCCACTCTACTGACTTGTCGAACCAGACGAGAAATAAATTACTGTTGAGCACTATTCTATTCAGACTTCTGAAAAGTAGATTCACTCACTCTTTCTGGAAAGTTGAATCCCAAATAAGGACGCTTCGAAATGAAGACGGCAACCTATTGAGCTATTCGCAAATGAATATATATATATAAATATATAGAAGATCTATAATTAAATATAACTACAAATACAAAAAAAAATGCATAAGGCGACCACTTAAAGCTATAAAAAGAAAAGTCAAAAATAAAATAAAAAATAAAAAAATAAAAATAAAATTGATTAAAGATAATGATTAATCGTTGAAAGACTCGATGAATTATTTGAAAAGCGACAACTGTATTAAAAAAAAAACCAATAATTCAATTAATGAAGGATAGCCTAAAGGATCAAAATTAAAACACAAATGAAATGGTTTATATTATAATTATTGTTTAAGCGAAATAATTTAAAAGTTGCAAAATTACTCAAAAAAAAACATAATTTTCTTTTGTAAATTGTAAATCTCATAAGTGCTTATTCAATCTTCTAGATGCAATTTTCTGGACTGCTCAGTGATATGATAAAATTTAAAGCTTACTTAATTAACAGTATTTATAGAAAATTTATAAAATAGAATTTTTATTTGATTTGCTAGTAATTTATATTTTATGATGGGATTTATAAAAAAATAAAAAAGAAGCTAAAAATAAATAACTAAAATAAAATAAATAAATAATTAAACGAAATTATTGCTTTCGATTTATTATTGTTATTATCACAAATATTGTGATTATTGGCTATCATTTACAATTGTTATCACTATAATTTTTACTAATCGAGTAAAATAACTTATTGCGCAATAATATTATTACTCTTTATTATTATTGCTATTATCATTATTGTTATCACTATTATTATCATTATTATTATTAATTTAAGTGGTATAGATTATTGTGCAATATTTATTTTATTCGTGTGATAACTTCTAAATGAATTATCATATCAAAAAAATTTTCTTAAAAAAATTATTGAAATTGTTAAAGGAAGATGATAGACGAAATTATGTTCGTTAAAAATTACTTAATATTTGAAATTCTAAAGTTTTTTATAAAAGATTAGCAGAAAATGAAGCAAATTATTACTTAGTGATTTAAAAAAATTATTAATTAGTTATCGCAATAGGTAGAAAAATAAGATAGAAAAATAGGAGGAGGTGAAAGAGGTACTAAAAAAAATTACGTAAGCCAAAGCAATTACAGTAGTAATAGGAGCTTTGGCTCTTAAACCAGCAAAAAAATTTCAACAGATTCCAGGAAAAGGAATATCAAAAATATCAAAAAAAAAAATGACCCAAAAATGCACGTTGTTAAGAATAGTTGCCATAGAATCCTAAAGCTCCCAGATCCCTAATAGAAGACCCAAAGTATAGTATATATACACCACTTACACAGAGTGAAGATTTTTTAAATCATTGTTTTTTACATATATATATTTCATCTTCAGCAGAAATAAACCTAGCTTCCAAAAATCTGAACGGTGCAAACGATTCAACTGGACTTCTAGTAATAAGTACCTTTCTAGCAAATTTTGACTAGTCTGACAAAACGAGCCAAATCAAAAACAATATATGTTTTACATAGAACTTTTTCAATCTGATTAATTTTCTTATTATATTATATTTTCTTATTCTTTTTCTTCTAAATACCATTATTGGTTGAGCTCTCACCATTACTGGTTAAGCTGGCTATAAGAGTAAGACGAGAGTAAGACGCTTCCAAGCTGCACGATCTGGTGCCATCTTTGATAGTAATAGAAGCCCTTCCCTTTTCCACTATGTAGCTTCATATAACCTATCTATACAATCGTACAATCATACAATCTTTCCTGACCATCAGTAAAAATCTTGATTGGCCCACAATTTTCACATCATCCATCATAAAATGGCAAATAGCGAAATATATGTCTACTCCAGTGGTGCACGACAAAGAACGTGGTCTAACCAGCGAAAACAGTACTCTGTAATGGTAATACTAATCTTCACTATATTAATTATTAAGAATCTAGTTCAGATGAATATCGAGTTTCACTTATCAATTTATCATAATCATAAGTCAAATGCCATTCACAACTGTCAATCAGTGTGAAACTTTGATATGATTTGAATTTTCGTAAACAACAATGTTGGCTAATCTTTTGATTTATTATCACATAACTATAGTTAAAAATATAATATAATGCGATGTAATACGATTGGACTTCACTATATTATCAAAATTTATGAAACCATAATTTCCGCTTTATTTCACCGCTATTCTATCTTATTTCATCTTTCGAAATAAGTTAATAAGTAAATTTGAAGAATTTTTTTTTGAACAATTCAATTCATTTTTCAAAATTTTTTGAAGATTTTTGTAGCATTTTGAAAATTTTTCTGGAAATATTTATTATTTAAAATAATTTTTATTTTTTTTATTAGCTTAAGCAAAAAATAAAATTTAAAAAAAATTTTTCCATTATAAATAAAGACAAATAAAAAAAGCCAATAATAACCTTATTGAATTTAAAATTGATTTAAAATCTAATAAAATTAATAAGAATCAAATTTCAATAATAAAGAGATTTCTCTAGGGAAAATTAAAACGTTTAATTAAATTTTTTTTTATTCCTCTTTGAATTTTTTTTATATTTCTTATCGATATTTCTGTATATTTTTTTTTTATTTTTTATATTTTTTTATTTTTCTTTTTTATATTCTTTTTACATTCCTGTTTTTTACAAGTTTGTAAGTAAATTTAAAAATTATAGCATTGTTTTATGCGATTAGCAAATAAAATGAAAATTTACAATCTAAAATTTTTTAAAAATTCATAAAAATAAACAAATAAATTTTCATAATAATGAATTTTGTGATACGAAATGGCTCAGTGAATTGTTGTTATCATTTCAAAGCGTCATTATTGAAGTTCTAATCCTCTTCCTCCACTCCATCCCCCCCTCCCTCCTCCCAAAAAAAATAGCATAAATAAACTTTTCAAAAATTCTCAGTGGCTTAGATATATGGCTCACCTTATTGTTCTCTTGCCAAGTTGATAAAATTTTTCTAGTCAAATCAAAAATATTGAATTCTTTTTGGAAACGAGAATAAATCATTTCAGATTTATTATTTACAATATATTAAATTCTATTAAAACAATTAGCAAAAATTATAAATTTAAGAAAAATTACAAATAAAAAAAGGAAATATTCAATAAAATTCATCTTCATTAAGAAATCAACAATTTATTTATTTATTTATTTATTTATTTGAAACACACAATTGGCTATAGTAAATTTTTATAAGCGAGCATGATATGATGTCGAATTAATGAGAGGCGAATAAAATTAACGATAAATGAGAAAAATTTTACATTGCTTATAGGAAATTTCTCAAATTTGCCGATAAAAAATATAATTCTATTATAAGTAATTTCTCTTATTTTAAATTTTTAATGAATATATCGTTAATATTATATGAATAATGATTATTATAAATATAAATCAACGATACCTTTATTATTAAATATTAGATCCCCTCTAATCGAGATGAACTTAATTTAGTAATCATTAGAAATAGATAAAAGAAGAAGAAAATCTGAATGGAGATTTCATTTAAAATAAGTGAAATTTATAAATGCATTTTTGCACCAGAGGACCAATTGTACCAATCGCATCTAAAAATTCTTCTTCTTCTAACAAATTCTCACCATTCATCATTATTGGTTATTTAAAAATTATTGGAGCAAATAAATATAGTCCATTAAAATATTCAATATTCATATGATCTTTATATCATATTATTTGCCATCCTTTTATTTATTTCTTCAATCCTTCTCGCATGAATTTAAATTTTAAATATATATTTATTTCTATTTCAACAAATAAAGAAAATTTTGATAAATCTAATTATCACTTAAAATTGAATTATTAAAATTTTTCATATAACATAAAAAAAATGATCGTTCAAGAAAGGAGTTTCAAGAATGCAATAGTAAATTAACGAGTGAATTAATTCAAAGTCAATTTTTCCTCGGTTTTATATTTATTAAAAGTATTGAAATTTTTTATCAAAAATTAAATTTTCGAATTTAACAATTTATTTTTTATAAATTTTTACAAAAATTAATTTAAATTAATTTCGTAAAATATTGTTTATTTTTTATAAAAATTAATTTAAATTAATTTTATAAAATTTTTTAAAGTTTCTTTAACTTAATGAGAATAGAATGGCTCAGTGGATTGTTGCTCTCATTTCGAAG